ATTTTTTATTTTTTTAAGGGAGGACAATCATCGCCTAACTTTCCCGCCTGGGTGATGCGGGAGGGGAGTGTCAGACTCTTACTGATTAAAAACCAACCTGTTCTCGTGTCCTTCGAGCCGGAGCTCTAGCAACACGTTAAATCCTCCGCGGTTCCGTATTGGCATCAGCCCATTGGGCCCCATCCGTGGAGGCCTGATGGCACTATGAGGCGCGCGCGGAACGCGATGTGCCGTACGCTCGGGTTCTAGTATCTGTCCCTATGTATGCTTAGATCTTTAAAACTACGAAACGAATTTTGATGCAGATTTTTTAAATAGATAGAGTGATTCTTAAGGAAGGTTTATATGTATAATACATATGCATTTTGCACCAGTGTGAAGTCGAGGCGGGTCGCTTGTGTATTATATAACTAAGAATAAAATGCTTAATTACAGACGCCAGCAGATTAAGCAAGATCAACAACTCCTTTCTACCAAATTCTGTAAGCCAGGATCTACAGTAGATACAACCATGAAAACACCGGAACATTGAAGTCCGGCGCGTCCCAGGGACATGAGTAACTGTCCCGCAACGAAGTGAATCAGAAGATATTATAAGAGGAGAAGAAGAAAAAACTATAGTTTATAAACGATATATAATCTACTAAAATATTGGAGTGTACCTACTGTATAGTGTAAGGGGTATCCCTTATGGAGTAAACTACCAGAATAACATAACTAATTGAACCCAATTACTTATAGTTGTGGGTTTCAAACACAATTAATTATATGAGTAGGTATAATTTGTGTTAAACACAGATAGTGCCGGTTAAGCTGGTCCCAAAGTTCTGAGGACGCAAGACCTCATCTCCATTGATTACAATTGATTGAATTTGATCGTAAATGTGGAATGCAGACACTATATAATACTGATAGATATTTTAACGTTAAAATGTTATCTGAGGAAACAGTTACATGACAAGGAGTGATAAGTGGGTACTTTATTTCAAAAATAAATTATTTCGACTGTTCAACACAATAATATATTAAAAATAATCCCTCCAATTAACTTTCATTAAGTGATTTTATAAACAACTTAATTTTAGTATTTTTCCAGTATTTTTTTATGAAATAAGTACCTATGCTGTTTGATGCCTAAAAAACGTGACGTCACAATACACAATCTCGTACAAAATTCATGGAAAACTGTCGTTTTTGACAGTTCGAAAAAAGTATTGAATTTGATTAGTTGCCAAGTACCCAATAGACGTATTGAGATTACATATTACGTATTATATTTGTTTTTTTTTGAGGGCGAAAATCATCCAATGACTTATCCCGTCTTGGGTGGAACATGGAAAAAGAAATAAGAATATACCATATAATATACTATGGGGTCCTGTCCCTCATATCTATGACAATACATTCTTTGAATAGATACTTATATTAGGGACTCTTTTGAGGGGGGAAAATCATCCAATTCTCGCCCCTTGGGTTAGGCGAGAATGAGTGTCAGACTATTACTGACTAAAACCCGTTGCTTTGATAAATACAAATATAAGTATGTTAATAAAAAGAATATGTTTTATTACAGAATATGTATTGGGCTTTTTATACCCTACTTTTAGATAATTAGAAATGTTTCACTTCAGAAAACGCTGACGTACCTAAAATTTAGAATGTTCAAAATACTTCAGACTTGAATAACTCGAATCGTTCGATCAAATACTCAAAGGAATCCATTACGGACAATAATTTGCCACTTTCGAAATATAAATTGAGTTACGATGAAACTCTGCCGCGAGATTTTCAACAATAGGTAACTAAATACAATATTTCGATCATGACATCAAAATAAATAAACTTTCCTCCGTGTATTTAAGGTTCAAAATCAAGTGAATAAACTTTAGAAATAAACAGGTTATACAAACAAATAATTTTCATTCAAAATTAACTATAAATTGCGGATTACTCACGTGAAAATACTGAGAAAAGCGCTACTAATTTAAAATTCAATTCAAATTACTTTATATGTAGATCATAGGTTACAGATGATTACATGCTTTATATTGACCAGCTTTGTCTTGCTATCAACGGCATACAAATGTACTAAATTACACATAACATAACATCGCGCCTTTTTATCCCCGAAGGAGTAGGCAGAGGTGCACATTACGGCACTTAATGCCATTGTATGTAATTTTGCCATTGCACAATGACAAACCCACTTTTCACTATTTATGTTATGAGTCCCATGTAATAGGGGGTGAGCCTGTTGCCATATACCGGGCACAATTCCAGACTCCGTGCTACTACAAAGATTTTTTTTAAAACTCAGTACTACTTTGCCCTACTCGGGAGTCGAAGCCGAGACCCCTTGCCCGGTAGTTGCACTTGCGACCACCACAACGAAGCAGGCAGTAGATGGTAAATACATTTTTTTTTGGTATAAGCCGGTAAATGAGCAGACGGATCACCTGATGGCAAGCAATCGGCGTCGCCCATGGACACACCAGAGGTGTTACAAGTGCGTTACCGACCTTTTGGGGATTAGGAGTTTGAGGATCGTTTGGGATTCAGGAATGGGAGATTGGGGAAGGGGAGGGTAATTGGGCCTCCGGTAACCTCACTCACACGACGAAACACAACGCAAGCGTTGCTTCACGTCGGTTTTCTGTGAGGCCGTGGTATCACTCCGGTCGAGCCGGCCCATTCGAATAACATAAAATATTTTCATCAAGTTGATAACTATTTAATAACCTCACTCTTCAGTTTAGATTTTAAATATAAAAGGCTTTCAACTTTTAACTGTTCTCATCATATTGTTCAGTAAAGTATCTACTCTTTATAAAATCCTAATTTAAAAATCTGTTTATAAACATAAGTGATCTATTAAGAACCAAATAATGTTTAACTAACCTTCATAATCCGAGTCTGCATTACAATCAGAATTAAATCATGGTCCTAATTCAAATTATTCAGTAATGAGCCGTAACGTTGGGAATTGCTTGTTTCCATTAACGCTAATGGAGTTAATCACCGCAGCTCTATGGGTGATTGGATCCTGCTGCTTCACGTTAATCCTTATCGAAAAAATATTATTCAGATATTTTTCTCCATTACACAAATTAATAAATCTTTATTTTAGTTTACTATGAAATAATAATTAAAATATATTTTCAACTAGCTGTTGCTCGCGACTTCGTCCGCGTAGAATATGAATTTTAGGACATAATTGTTTATGTTTCATTTTTTCTAAATAAAGTAATCCATATTACTCCTTAGTATGTCAGCTACCAGCAAATAAAAGTCATGCAAAATCGGTCCAGTCATTCCAGAGATTAGCCAGTACAAATAGACAGACAGACAGACACAAAAAGTGTAAAAAAAAAATATTTTGATATGTGTATCATATGTACCTACATTCATATGCATATGATAAAAAGCGGTTATTTTAATATTATAAACAAACACTCCAATTTTATTTATCTGTATAGATAAAAGTATGCACGTAACTGTGACTTTGAACAAAATGGCGGCAAACTCATAGTTTTTCGGTGACAATGATAATCTTTGCATTCTGCCAGCTATGAAAACTTTTTAAACAAAATGAATGTAAGTTATGCAACCTATCATAACTTGGTATAAAACTTTGTAGAAAAAGCTTATTATTTGACTCCTGCCGTTGAAGTTGTAAATAACTCAATTATAGAGTGTTTTATAGACTATTTTATGATATCGTTAAAAACTTTCCTTGCGAATCCATTTACCGTAATCGTAAATAGCCCGAACTTTTACCAACTACATGAGTTGCTGGGTAGCGTGGGCACTAAAATATAGGTTAATAAAAATGAGATATGCTGACTATACTGAGCCCCGCGTAGTGATGTCCTAAACAAACTGTATTTTACATAAATAGGTTATGTAAGGGATGAAAAGCAGTAAGTACAATAGTCGTCGTAAAATAGTACAAGCGGCCTAAGTATAACAAAGCCGCTAATTAGTCGGCGCCCCACTTCCTCGTGTTATTCTTTAACATTTATGTAACTAGACTCTTGGGGTACAAACTACGAGATCTTTTCTATAAAACAAACAAACGGAATATTTTTTACATCTTAATAAATAGAATCTTATTATTTTTAGTATGTAAATTGTGCGTATTTTTATGGCATGACCACACTAGCGGATGGATGATCTTGATAATAATCTATATTGGCCTCCAAAGGACACCTACAACACCAGAGGAGTTACTATAGTTCACTGTCGCACCTTTAAAATGTTTAAGGAGATAGCTGACTCAAAAGAAAATATCTTGTTACATAAAGTATCGAATTCTCATCTAACTAAAGTGTGATGGCCTCTTAAAAATGTATTTCCCAATTTAATTAAAGATCTCAGCATCTAACTGTCAATCTAAGAACCAATAGAGAATAATGTCGTCTCAAGATGACTCCACGATTTAATTAATTTCCGGTATCCAGTAGAAATCATGTCGGGTTCAATAAATAATTATTTAATACAAATGCCACGGAAATATCCTTGCAAGAAATGAAATTCCATAAATCACAAACCTAAACATTTGCATTATTTATTTTAAGAATTTGTTTAGGAAATGGAAATTCGTTAATTTATTCGACAAACGTACCTAATTACACAAGGAAAAAGATTCAAATAGGGCACCAATTATCACGAGTTAGTTAATTTGCACTTGGTGCGAAATTATTAAAAATCGCAACGAAACTTTTTTGTGTATGAAATTTATTTTTACTAAACTTTTTTAAATTTGGAATAGTCAAAGTGACGTTTAAAAAATCATAAGGTGACGTATGTCATCGGCCTAAAAAAATTACAAAATTAGTTTTTTATATTTTGATAACAACCATTATGTATACTATTTTGAAATAAGGTAAATATATTTCTGTTGGTAAAGAATTTTGTGGAGGAATCTCAAGAAATCGCCGTCTGGATGATAAAATGTATAAAGTTTTTGTTTTTTGTAGCACTACATTTGCTGCTGTACAATGATTGAAACTGGTAGCGCGGATAACGCAACAGCTGTAACACCAGCGGCAAATCCGGTTAGCTGATCCATCGTAATAAACTGTTTTTTAGACTTTACTATTGCTTGGCTGTTATGCTATCGAAATAATGAAATTGATATATTGAAAAACTGTCGACAAAGCTAGCTACGACATTTGTGTATTTCAATCTGTTTGGCAAAAGCCTTTAAAAAAATAAAACCGTTTAAAAATGTTCAAGTTGGAATATTTTATAATAAAAAATTGTCATCAAACTTTTTGAAATAATTTAGTAAAATACCAAGAAGGATTCTCGAAAGTAAACGACCTTCATGCACTCATTTTCCTTAGGAAGTTTTACAAGAAGACGACGACATCGCTCGGCCAGAAGCGACGTTTCGTTTCACTGTTCAAAATATAAGTCAGTTGAAGGAGCAAGTACTATCACCTCCTTGCTTCGTGAGATGCCTGCCTTGGAAGATACTGATACTCCTGAGGCACACGACCACACCTGAACGCCAGCAACAAAAGGCGTTGGGTGTGTTCTTGCAGTGCAATGGAGACTGTGATTCTCCAGGCTGGTCATGCTATGGGCTAGGAGAACTGAAACTCCTTTCGCATAAACCGGACGGTGGTCAAGCCCTCTGTCGGAAACTTCATCATATGTATCACTGGTATTTATAATCATACAATAGTTAATTATTCTGCCTTACAACACCAAGCTTCTTTTACGCAAGGTGCTTTATAAATCGTATTTTAGATTGCTTATAATGAACATAACAGCTTTCAAATATTCTTTCGTAAACAGTAAGGAAGACGACTGGGGTTTTGCACACTTCATATCATGGGACGATCTTATGGAACCAGACAATGCTTTCGTAAAGGATGATTCGATCACTATAGAGGCTCATGTGGTCGCTGAAGCCCCTCATGGTGTTTCATGGGACTCCAAGAAACACACGGGATTTGTTGGTAAGGTGATAGATGTAAGACAACTTTATGTCGTATGCCAAGTTTGCCATGCCAACAAACTATTGCTAATCTTGGCACATACACTTTTAGACCTCATCATCATCATCAACAGCCTATAAATGCCCACTGCTAAGCAAAGCCTCTTTTCACACGAAGAAGGTTTGAGCATTAATCGCCACGCTTGCTCAATGCGGGTTGGCGATTACACTTATAATTAGAAATTATAAGCCGAGGTTTCCTCAGGATGTTTTCCTTCACCGTTTGTCAGTGGTGTTTAGATAATCTTAGAAAGTATATATAACTCGGAAAAAGTCACATTGGTACTTGCCGTTGGTAGGTTTCGAACCCGCACCCTTATGCATGAGAGGCCGCTCTCTTAAACCTCCGGGCCACCACGACATAGTTTTAGACCCAATCGAGTGTGCAATAATCGTGCTAAAAATGAGCGCTGGTACTCTATTATTCATCAAAATAGGATTAGGATTGTATGTACTATGTGTAAACAAACGAGAATTTAAAAAACATTTTCAGCAAAAAACTGTCACTCCACTGCTAATCCATTTCAAATGGACATTATTTTCCAATAACCGCGCGTGTGGCAATCCTTTATGCATAAGTGCATAACGCGCCATTCAAAGGGTTAAAGGAAAATTATTAGAGTGGAAATAATGGACGAGTGAATAGAACTATGAAATAGTTATTTTATCGAATGAGTGCTGCACTAAGCGACAAGATGTCTTCATATTTAGAACGGAAGACAAACCACTCAATGAATGTTGGTGGTTCTTTCTGAAATTGTTTCGGAAATTTTATCATACAGTCATTATAATAAACTGTTAAGACTTCGGGCTGCCTCGTTGGCCGAGTGGTCGCAAGTCCCGGGTCGAGCAAAGTATTACTGGGGTTTTTAAAAATGTTCAGTAGTAGCACGGAGTCTGGAATTGTGCCCGGTATATGGCAATAAGCTCACCCCCTATTACATGGGACTCATAACATAAATAGTGAAAAATGGGTGTTACATTGTGCAGTGGCATAATGTGCACCTCTGCCTACCCCTTCGGGGTTAAAAGGCGTAATGTTATGTTGACTTCGGGCTTATTTTATCCTCAAATAATCTCACATAACTCTAACACATCGCAACTTTCAACGTTCTTTCTCAGGGCTCAAGAACCAAGGAGCGACTTGCTACATGAACTCTCTGTTACAAACTCTGTTTTTCACGAACGTGTTACGTAAGGCAGTCTACAAGATTCCGACAGTCGGAGACGACAGTTCTAGGTCCGTCTCATTTGCCCTACAACGCGTGTTCTACGACCTTCAGTTCTCAGACAAACCTGTTGCCACGAAGAAGCTTACAAAGAGTTTTGGCTGGGAGACACTGGACTCTTTCATGCAACATGATGTGCAGGAATTCTTGCGGGTAAACTGTGTATTAATTAGTTCAAATTAAAATATCTTTATTGCTGAATACAGTACATTAAACTGTCAAACACCAAGCGGTCACCGGTGACCGCGACCTATTGTTCTTTAATTGTGTCTATAAAACCGGTACTCGACGAGTTAAGATGCATTGCAAGATGTTAGATAACGGTAGATAGTAAGTTAGTGTTTAGTTACTTTTATAGTCCCGTTTCCGTTGGTGATTTTCGGTAAAAAGTAAAAAGATAAAAGTATTGGATATAAATTTTCTATGACCGTCTCTAGGTTCTAACCTACCTTCTCGCCAATTTTCATCCAAATCGATTTAACCGTTCTTGAGTTATAAATAGAGTAACTAACACGACTTTCTTTTATATATATGTATATATATTTCCCTTGTGAAAGACATAATTGGCTGCATGTTTAGAACTTGTTTGCTAATTAGAGGTGCTAAAGAGTTCGAATCGTAAACCCCAAAAAAAATATTCTCATATCTGAAGCGGCGCTTTAAATTGATTGTTGAATCGCTCGTAAAATAAACATGTTATTTACCTTGATAAAGTATTAGGTATTTAGCTTGTTTTTGTACTTGAAAAAGTAAAGTGTTACTATGGGATGGGACCATTGTAAAGCTTGATCTTCTTTTTATGAGCTCTTCAAAATTTTACGGTCACCAGTAAAAACGGGGAAGCCAAAAATCTTCATTCTTAAATTTTCACTATATTTCCACACGGGTCCTACGTGGTCCGAAATATTTTTATCATTTTTTTCATGGAAGCTTACAATTATGCTACGCTGGATTTTTTGCATATAAAAGGCTTCAATCCTTTGCCCGGTAAAAACTCATCTCTCGTGAATGCTTTTTGCAGAAATCCATATTTGATATGTTTTCACTCGTCGCAGGGAATACAAAAATTCGATGACCATTTCGAAGTTTTCCAAACAATATGATGCATGCGTATTGCATACATATGTGTAAAATATCGGCTCCCTTTTTTAACTAGTCATCTATAAACAATATCATTATGAAATGGAAAGTAATAGATACTCACGCCTTGGACTGTAAACTTTCATGTCTCTTTTTAGGTATTACTAGACAAGTTAGAAAACAAAATGAAAGGCACTGTGGTGGAAGGGACCGTGCCAAAGTTGTTCGAGGGTAAAATGACGTCATTCATAAAGTGCAAGAATGTGAACTGTACCAGCACACGTGTTGAGACGTTCTATGACATACAACTCAGCGTCAAGGGGAAAAATAATAGTAAGCAAGCAAATATTTTAACACCAAAGTACCAATCATTTATTATATCATTACCTACAAAAACCTCTTTTCATAAAGAGAAAAGTAAACAATTTTGGTTCTTAAAACGAGCTACAGATTCTAGCAACAAAAACAATAAACCTACATAACTTTGCACTCGTTAATCGCAATCCAGTTCGAAATTCAGTAACCGAAGAAAAAACCGGCAACCAGCCAGTACCCAGTTACTTTCAAAAGCTATTTCGTTACCAATAAATTGGTCCAATTTGCAACTTGAAAATGCAATTTATAACGGGACTTTCATTAGGTACGAGAAATTCCTTCATTTCGTTTAACCATTTAGTGTACTATGACGTCACAGTTTATAAATAAATTATAGGTTGTAGACATCACTTGATAGTAAGAGCTGCTAATAAATCTTTTATAACAGAGTGTAGTACAGGCGCCTGCATCCGGAGTTCTGATAAAGAAATATTTGCATTTATACGAGCGTGTAGGGTTAAGTTCTAAGAAAATTAGTTCTGCCGCAAGTTTAAAATTATTTATGGTGTGAGTTTAGGACTTTCGTAACATGTGGTTCGGGTGCTTTACATACATTTTTACATTCAATATTGTGTATTATAATGTTATGTATTAAGTAAAATAAGTATTGTGCCAAATTAAACATTTAAAGATCATGTCCAACATGACTTATTCCATTTCTGAACTTGAACACAATTTCCAACAGGCCACTCCGTTCCCTTTTTCGAATGACAAAAATCCTTCCATCCTAATCATCACCTATTCGATCCTACTCCTTACCATCCTTACCTTTCACAGTTTACGAATCGTTCAAAGACTACATCAGTACGGAACTACTGGATGGTGAGAATAAATATGACGCCGGTGAGCATGGTCTCCAGGAGGCGGAGAAAGGAGTCAGGTTCGACGTCTTCCCACCAGTGCTACATCTACACCTCATGAGGTTTCAGTATGACCCCCAGAGTGACGCGTCTGTCAAGTTTAATGACAGGTTTGTAATTTCTTTCTGCTTTGTATCGATCTGGCTCAAAATCATGATTTTTAAGTTGTTCATCTGTTTGCCTTTCGGACCGGAATGTGTGTGAAGGACCATTTATATTTATGAAGCCTGTTTAATTTTGTGATGTACCAAATAAGTGCTATAATAATGTGTTACTTAGAATTTTTTACTTGTAACATCTTTCACTAATTTTTGGCAACTGTCCATACACAGCACTTCAAATTATTTCAACCTTGGACAAACCTCAAAAGCTCCTATATAAATTTACTTCTGTATATGTCTGTTAACATTTTAGCTGTTATACCTACGTTTTTAAATAAGACTATTATGCAAATGTCAGTCCCAAAACCATATCATCCTTTGATATTGGCGCCACAGGTGTTGTTTTTGGGCCCACATCCACCTCCTGCCGTTGACTCAAATTGATACTAACTTTATTTAGCGTACACTTTGTAAAATGTTTACGTGTTATAGGTTTCTTTCGCTAAATGTTTTTTGCAATTTGTAATAGAAATGTTATTGAACAAACAAACAAGGTTATCAAACATCGCAATAAGTTACTTTGATTGGCAAAAGAACGTATAATATATGACCGAATACTAGAGTTACATCTATCCCACAGGTTCGAATTCTACGAAGAAGTGAACCTAGATCCGTATCTTCAGGAGATCCCCACAATACCAGCACATTACACGCTACATGCAGTGCTGGTACACTCAGGAGACAACCACGGTGGACACTATGTGGTTTTCATCAATCCTAGGGGAGATGGAAAGGTGATCAAAACCATAGTTTTCTATTATTCCTTTATACGTAGCACTCACTTAGTATCCACGAAATGGAGGCCTGTTGTATTTAAATCTTCATTAAATTACTACAGTAAAATACCATTGTCGATTCCTGAATTCAATGGTAGTTTGATAATATTACAATCATACAACGCTAACAAATATTGACATCAATATTACATAAGTATGGTACATTAACATCTAGATCAGTAACATCTGCTGTGAATGTCTTAGTTATTTGATGTTCATCAGACCTTTTATCTTTCTTTTAACCTATAAGTATTAACTTTTCTGCTTTTACTTTTACCAATTTAAATTTAATTCAATTGTATAATACCTACAGTGGTGCAAATTCGACGACGACGTAGTATCTCGATGTAGCAAGCAAGAAGCCATCGAGTACAACTTCGGAGGTAAAGAGGACGCACCGCATCTCGCCCGGAGAGCCACCAGCGCATACATGCTCATATACATACAGTAAGATACTTTTTATAAAATTCTAACTTTGAAGGATTAGAGGTTTTCCAAAACTATTCTGTTCTATTTCTGTACCTCTGTACCAAATTTCATCAAAATGGGTTATCAGTAGTTTAAGTAGGAAAGCGTAATAAATCGAGTTATTTCTATACCTATTAAATTTGGCTGGGTAACTGGCTGCCGCGCAAAGTCTCATGGGTTCGATTCCCGCACGGAACAACTCTTTGTGTGATCCGCAGATTGTTGTTTCGGGTCTGGGTGTCATGTGTATGTGAACTTGTATGTTTGTAAACGCACCCACGATACAAGAGAAAACCCTAGTGTGAGGCGTTTTTAAAAAAAAAATTAACAAACGTCTTCGCACATTATGTTCTTGTTTAAGTACCTTTTACCACGATACAAACCTAGTTTTTTCTGAAAGTCAGTCGTAAGCTAAGTCCTGCAATGTTTGTCCACAGGACATCGCAACTAAAATACGTGTTGCAAGAGTGTACCGAGGGAGACATACCTACCGACCTATGCGAGCGCATCAGCGAAGAGATGCGATACGAGATGGTAAGGACATGTAAATATCATTCCACACAACTTCGTCACTTTGACCTTTTTTTATACTTTTTTTATGTACGCAACACAATTCCGCATTTCAGGCGGCAGAAAAATAAGATGCAGAAAATTTAAATCTGATACGTCAGTCACCTCCGCCAAGTACTACGCGAAGATATTCAGCGCACTAAAACAGTTCTTCACTTTGCAGGCCCTAGCCGGCTCTAAATATAAAGGAAGATAATGATCAGCATGGACCGCACTACAATGTCCTATTTTTTATGCATTTTACAGTTTTTGAAATTATTAAAGTGTTTACGCTTAAAATAGTAAATTTGTCAGGTAGGTAATTAAGCTTTATATAATCTGAATATATTTTCTTTGTGTATATTTTATTGTAATTATTTATGTACCACTGTTAATAAAATTTGTTGCGATATTGTTTAGGTTTATTTTTGTATTATCCTTGCGGCCACGCGAACCAAGCATTCCTTTTCGTTCAGTCATACCTTTCAGAAAACCTGACAGAGCATCGAACGATACACATTTCACGTGACGATGTTTTTCTAAGCAACATTTTATAACATTTGGAGAAATAGCAAGTATTTATCTATAACTTCACTAAATAAGTAATTGATAGACTTTCTTATTGCGTACATTGAAACATAATGGAATTGTCCGTCACTTATGTTCAAAGAAAAACCAATTCACAAAAAACAAGGCGAACAAAAACCTAGGTCTAATTCATTCGTACCTAATTAATGCCTTGACGTACTTGAACAAAAAGCTAATCTAGTGGGCGAAGTAAATAGAAATGGAGGGGTTCTGCCGTCTTCATTCTTTAATCATTAATTAGGTGTTCTGAAACGTGTTTCAGAATGCTACGAAACACAGACGTGTCTGTGTTTCGTAGCATGTTCTGCTACAAATGAAAGTGGATGTTGCATGCTAAGCGGGGGCAGCCCTAGACACTGACGAGATATCCAAAAGACGCGGCTGTAACGCTATTTACTTATGCAACCCACTGAGCAATCAGTTGCTGGTGCTTTGTTAGACGCTAGAGAGAATGTTTCTTGTGTATCTGTGTAAGATTTTCGCCTACTTCATATGAATACGTAAATTCAACTTTCGTGCTTAATTTTGCAACACTACCTACCGTAAAATAGGGTGAATAGGGATCGAGAGGTGAATAGGGACCGAAGAGGGGTGAATAGATATATGGAAATTCTTCATTGTATCGACTCACCCCTCTTCTGTCCCTTTTCATGGATCAAAACCTATTCACCCCATTCTACCGTTATTATTATAAATTCCAAATAAGGAAAATAAGTGCATTTCTTAAAAAAAACTGTCCCACACTAGGATTTTCTCCTGTATCGTGGGTGTGTTCACAAACATACAAGTTCACATACACATGACACCCAGACCTGAAACAAGAATTTGTGAATCACACAAACAGTTGTTCCGTGCAGGAATCGAACCCGCCGCGGCGCTTTGCTCGGCAGCCAGTTGCCCAGCCAACCGTGCATCCTTTCCAGTTATGTTATATCTGCTTATAACTTTACTTGGCTATGCTAAAATAGAATTAGATAAATTCTAAGTAAGATAAGTCGTGGAGTCTAATATTGATTCAGATAAAACGTAAATCGCAAAGTACAAGTTAAGTAGTTCGTATTTGTAATTTAACATCAATGGGGATGATGACAGGGTATGAAAATTAAAAATATAATTAGTCCGTAAGTTAGGTACCTACCTAATTAAAAAATATTATACACGTATTTTTTTATTTTGTCGTATAATAAAACAAAACTTAGATAAAACGAATCGAAGTTTAGGTGTGGGGGCTAAAACGTCATTTCTTAGTATAAAATGTACTGAGAAGTGATGTCACGCGACATTTCAAATCAATATACCTATCTTCGAAACTATTCGTATCCGTAAGAAAATAAAAAATACGTGTCTAATGATTTTAAATAATCTACCAGACGGACATTAAAATAATAGGGTAAATAACTTTTATATCGATACAAAGTCTGCTACATAATATACAACAGTTTAGATATTACAGAAACAATATATTAGCTAGGTTATAGCGAGCCAGTAATTGTTTTTCAATGTGATATGATTACACGGGTCGTTTGATGGATCGTGCACCATATGCTTAGGGATAAACCTCTTAATATTGTAATACAATTTTCTAATGTATTTTATAGGTACCTTGGTACAGCTATAACCGTTTTTATACCTAAAAGTTATCTCATATAAACTTTTATTTAATACAAAATTAAAATAGAAAGTGTCTCATGAATAAATATGTAAAAAAGAACGTTTTTGTAATTTAGAGTTAGGCTTTGATGAAATTCTGTGCTAGATTTACAATTTATGCCTTTTTTACTAAAACGTTTTTTAGTGAAACTGATTAAAATAATTAGATAAAAAAAAATATTTAGAAAATGTTACTATAAAAGTCAAATTAAGGTATTCCAAGTTCTAGGCTAGCTGAGTCGTATCTACTATCTACCTACCTCTGTGGCATTTTAATATTTTGTAGGGTTTAGCAAACATAACTGTAAATATACCTAGTATTGGGCCCCATCAGTGGTGGTCTGATGGCTCCTTGAGGCGCGCACGGAAAGGGACGCACTGTACGCTCGGAAAAAAAATGACAGGATAGTCTTTGATGAGATAAAATTACTAACACTTCTTAATAATAAAGACCAATGATAATACACACCAATGATACAAAATTAAATTGTGTAACCAGTTATACCTATAACCTAAATTTAGTAATATACACCGTTTTTATGACAAATAAAAATGAAGTCAGAGTTAGAAATGATGCCTGACATACTTAAATAGTTTCATATGTAGAATGTAAATTGACTAACATAACAATTCAATGAAACTTTAACGTAGAAATAATAGAAAATCATAAAATCACGCGTCTCAATCCCTGAAAGAGTAGGCAGATAGTGGTATCTGTCTGCCATGCCCGTAACGTGGGTCACGGGATGTAGTTACTCACACAATTGTTTGACGCAGTATCGACTAGTTTCAGGTCACGTTAGAACCTGGATAGCTATGAGCACTGAGCAGTATGGCGCGCTTTAACGTAAGTATTTGAGAGGTGTAAATCATCCATTGGCTTCCCACCTTAGGTGAGGCGAGAGGGAGTGTCAGACTCTTACTTACTAAAAACCACCCGTTCCTACTTCTGCTCTTCTAGCTGGAGCCCCGGTAATCGCCTTAGGTGGGGCGAAAGGCAGTGTCAGGCTCTTACTTACTACCACCTAATTCCTACTCCTACTCTTTGAGCGAGCCGGCAATCTGTTAAGTCTTAAAACTAGTCGTTTAACTATATCAAACAGCTACATGATTATACTGTAAAACATGTGACTGTGAATAAATAACACAAATATCTAGTTCCGAATTTCTAGCCTTAGCTTAGGCAGATACTGTACGACTGTACCTACCTACGTAGATTATATATTATCCTTTACCTTTTTTAGATCAAGCTCCGTTTTGAGATTAGGTTCCCTAGAACGTTTCAATCAATCAACTTCCAAATATCTAGACAGGTAGGTACTTACCTAATTTTTTTATTCATTATGCATTCATAGGGGTAAGGATGGGACAAGTTAAACTACCGACACGTTGTCTTTATCTACTCTTTATTCCCCTATTAATAATAAAGCGAAAGAGTATAATAAATACTCTTTAGCTTTATTATTATTGCGTAAAACTACTGTGGCGATAAATGTCTCACGTCAAATATCGATGAAAAAAATCAACGGATGACGTCACGAAATCCTACATCGCACATGTCAAGTTTACATTTGAATTTACAAGGATTGAAAATCCCAACGAACAACTGTTGGGCAGAAAGCCCGCCAGGCATGAACACCTCGCCTGGTCAGAGGATCCTGCTTTTGGAACTTTACTCTCTGTTCTCTAAACAACTATCTTCTATACAAAAGAATACAAATAAAATAAAATTTCACATCATGATTACAATTAACGAATTAACTATCGATGTAGGTAGAACCTCATTGCAAACCCCTCCTACAATCACAATCACGTCACTGCCAATATAGAACTCGCCGGTTCATCATGAGGATAAATTGAAAGCCAATTTAGAACGGACATTGAAGTATTTAGCATATAAAATTCGCTGTGAATGAACCATTTGTATCCTTCGAGAGTGGTAACTAGTAAAGCCAGTAGTCGTGTTTTTAAAAAATTGCCTTTCGCTTCTCTTTGTGGCAGTAAATCTGTCAGGACAAGCGATAAATTGGACTCAGTTACTGACTCCACTCGCCATTGTTTGCAACTACGAATTTCGGATGTCCTCGATAACAACAACAGCAACAGCGTTGTTGAAAACACAACACTAGGTCATTGTAAACTGAATTTATAATTTACAAGCGAAAATTGCAAGAGATTTGAATGCTTTGCGTTGTAGCTGTAAGTGAATTAATGGTAATAAAATCGACTCGAAAAGCGAAAAAACCACATATATTTAAGCCTACTAACCATCCATTGATAGATTTAGAAATCTGTAGGTACCGTAAATTCTAAGAATGAAAAAGAAAAATCAGTGAATTTGTTGCTGTTTGTATATGACCAGTCCACACACAAAAGTTATTTTAAAGAAATAATACGATTTCATGAATAATTCTTTCATAAACTACATTTAAAAAAACTGACCCCTTTGAATTCGGTTCATTAATAAACCTTTTCCTAAATGTAGCAATCACTTTTCTGAAAACCGCATCGAAATCGGTTTCGCCAATCACGAGTTAATGGCGGACAAACATACATACAGATTAAATTGAGAACCACCTTTTTTGAAATCGGTTAAAAGGATAAAATTCAACAAAGATTCTTAAGGAGGCCATACACGCTAGGTTATGCATGATGGTTATAACTTTTCATGCAAAACCGACAAGCATAACCGAGCATACCTTTTTCTTCTTCTCCTCTTATAATATCTTCTGATTCACTTCGTTGCGGGAACCAAGACAGTCCCAGACTCATGTCCCTGGGACGCGCCGGGCTTCAATGTTCCGGTGTTTTCATGGTTGTATCTACTGTAGATACTGGCTTACAGGAGTTGCAGCGGTTTTGGGAGGTTGTGGCGGGCTTGTCCCAATAAAAAAAAAGCATAACCGAGCACCGATGCACCAATAACTGTACAGTTTAATCATATACACGCTAGGGCTTGCCTGTCGGTTATGCGTGCACGGCTAAAACCATCATGCAAAACCTAGGGTGTATGGTCTCCTTTAATTTGCTAAATCTACTTCGCAGCAAAAATGAATCCACTTGAATCATTTATTTAACGATCATTATCTTATTAAAAGTTCCCGTAAGTTGCGAGTTTCAGTTTTATCCTCTCAGATAGTTTTCACAAAGTTCCATAAAACTACGTAAAAGTAACTATGAATGTTACAACTGGGCACCCACTAGTACTGGAGTTTTAATTAAAACAAAAGACTTTGGAGTTTCGCTACAGAATAGATATAAATAGAGATTGTTTACAATTACAAGAGATCTGAACTGGGTAAAGAAAGCGCAAAGGTAAAACAACATTAGCTACTGTACTTAGAAAATGATCTTTTAATTTTATCAAACATCAGGGCCTTTAGCCAAACGCCAGTTTAGCGCTTGTCTACAGAGAGAGTAGAAATCAAAATGTATGGGGATGACACTGATAAGTGTCAAAATTTACGTCAATTCCATATAATTTGGTTTTCTATTCTACATGTAGACAAGCGCTAAGTGGCATTTGGCTACAGCTGCAGATTTGAATAGATAAATAGAAACAAGCACGAGTTTATTCATTAACTGACATCAAAATAAGAAGAGGTTTTGCGAAATTTTTTGACTTATTAGTCAAGGATTAAGTTTGATATTAATTCAGTGAGAATTTAGCCAAATTCTGTGTAAAAAATGTACTATTCTGCCTAACCCCATGGGAAACTGATGCATGCATGAGGGTATATATGTATGTAGAGGGCAAATCCTCTAGTAACCTGAGTGCCAACCACGAATAACTATCGCATTCGTAACGTAATAGTATCGAGCGCGTTCGGCGCTCTGATTGGCCGGCTCAAGTGAACCAACCAATCAGAACGCTTAACTAACTCGATACGGTTACGATACGAATGTGATAGTTATTCGTGCTTGGCTCTCTGGCTCATATACCTAGGTCATGTTATCCTACCTACAATACACCGTAAAATCTATTTCGTTTTCGTCCCAAAGTAAAATTATCCTGTTTTGTTAATACAATAGTTTTACAAAGAAAGAGAATGTTTAAAACAAAAAATAACTGGTTAACCATTGCAAAAAGCAAACTTCGAAAATGCATACGAACTCATAACACATTATAAAAACATCACGGCATGTAATTCACGAAGAGGTATTTCTCGTCGTGTGACACGTGCAATGCGAATAGTGCCTACAAATTTACGTCTAGTGTTTCATGAGCGTATTTCAATGAAAACATTTTTTAAACTATTTTTTTTTCTTTTTAGTTTAAACATAGAAAGTACTCCTTATAGAAGTTGTTTTGCCGCAGGACGAAAAGGAAACACATAACATAACATAACATCACGCCTTTTTTTTATCCCCGAAGTGGTAGGCAGAGGTGCACATTTCGGCATTTAATGCCACTGTACAATCTAACACCCACCTTTCACTATTTATGTTATGAGTCCCATGTAATAGGGGGTGAGCCTATTGCCATATACCGGGCACATTTCCAGACTCCGTGCTACTACTGAAATTTTTAAAAACCCAGTAGGTAATACTTTGCCCGACCCGGGAATCGAACCCGAGACCCCTTGCCCGGATGTCGCACTTGCGACCACTCGGCCAACGAGGCAGTCAAAAACGAAATAAATAATTATGATAAATATCATCATAAAGTATTAATATAGAAAATCATGCCAAACACAATGTAATGATAAGAAGAACCACTTTGGAAATTAGTTCACTTATGCATAAGTAGTACCTAAGTGGAGCAAGTAGTCTAGTTCTGAAATGCTAACTAGTTTCTGGTGCTAGAACAACACTCGCGTTGATTCAACAAACATTCAAGTTTTACGTAAAGACTTCCAAAATACCTTGTATTTTAGGTTTAGAATATCTGTTTCTCATGAAGGATCACTGCATAATTAGCTTACTGAGAAACAATATTTAATACGAGCACGTACCAATAATAAAAACAATACAAAAAAAAACGTGTAAATGTGGCGAATATAAAAGAACAAATATAAACTTTCAGTATTTAAATTTTCCCCCCTTAAAAAATAAAATAAAAAAAGGCCGCTTTTCCAACGGAAGATAAATTTTTACTGAGGAATAACTTTGAATATTTGACAATTCTTCTACATATATTGAAAACTGTCAAATGTCAATTTTATTCTACAGTTAAGAATTAACTGATGATTGTTAAATCGAGCCTTTTTTTTAAGGGGGGAAAATCATCGAATGACTGCTCCCGCCTGGGTGAGGCGGAAGGGAGTGTCCGACTCTTACTGACTAAAAACTACCCCGTGCCTTCTCCTGCACGTCGAGCCGGAGCCCTGGTTACCCGTTAGGTTCACCGCGACAAACTTTGTAAATCGGGCCTTAGACAAGGTTAAAACTACTGAGAAGTGAGTGTATTATGTATACATATACTTTACTGAGCCTAGACCTTTTGGAGTAACAAGAACAAGTCCTTTTTTCTTAACTAAACGACTTCACAAAAAAGCTACATCGTGTTACAAAACAATGTCATCAGAGTCCGTTTCAGTCCGTCCAATCAAGTAAAATGGTATAGAAGTAAATAAATTATGTCCATAAATAACAGAACCGTCTTCTCAATGAAGGGACAAGAAAAATAATAGATAGGTACCTATATATCACAATCAGCTTTGTTTTAGTAAATAAGGTTCTCTTGAGACATCAATCAACTTGATCAGACTGCCACCAAGACGCAGCCGAACGTAATTATAAAGCATTGTTCCTATTTTCCTCTTTTCATTCAATTTGAATAACAATAACAATACAATTAAATATTACATAATGACTGTTTTTCCTTCAAGGTTTACATTCAAGTGGGTTCCTATGTAGATACACTATTATAATATGAGTGCCTATAACCATTTTGTTTGAAGTGTTGTTTACTTTTCTGTATAATAATATCAAAGAACAATGTCATCACTATCACCACTTAGTATAAAAAGTCGCTATCCGCCGTCTATCTGTCCCTATGTATGCTTAGATCTTTAAAACTACGCAACGGATTTTGATGCGGTTTTTTTAATAGATAGAGTGATTCTTAAGGATGGTTTATAATGTATACCTAATACATGAATATTGAACCCGTGCGAAGCCGGGGCGGGCGCTAGTTACTTATATGGAACAATTTATAAAATTGCATAATATGTAATTGTAAATGATATTTAATCGTTTCTTTCTTCCACGTTGCGTTATACGTATTATAACTAGGTAATCGGCGAGATAAAGCTGAAATATTTTCTTAAAAACTTGCAATAAGTACCTAACCAGTGACTCCACTCCAATCCAATTACCAGTTCTCGGAGATTTATGCAGAAACGAGGCACTACTTTATTAATTCCTCCTCTTATATAATAGTTAAGAAAATAAAGTAACTAACGAAATTCAAATAATGGGAACGGGCGGGTACGGATCTCCGCATAATTAATCCGGATGCTGCACTATTAATTAGGGGAGTTTTTCTTCGTCAGAACGAGGATTAAGGCTGGCGAGACTTCAGTAATTGCCAGCGGCGGAACTGTTTTTTATTTAAACGACTCCGCGAAAATTTCTTCCTGCTTCACTTCGCTGAGTTCGCTACTATGTATTGTTGTACTGAAATAACTTTGGAAGGTAACCTTCTCTCGAAGATCTTTGCTCAGTCCAAGATTCTGGTGTTAATTGTCTTATATCAAATTTATTCAAAAGGAAAATCTAAGTTTCTACATAAGAATAAATCTGTGTATTGTGAAACAAAATACTTACGTAAGAACTTATTTTTCTAAAAGAATCAAAACGAAGAGTGATTATTTACATTATAAAAATGGCCTTTTTTTAGGGGGAAAATCATCGAATGACTTCGTCCGCCTGGGTGAGGCGGAAGGGAGTGTCAGACTCTTACTGACTACCGAAAACCACCCCGTTCCTTCTCCTGCACTTCGAGCCGTGCCCCGGTTACCCGTTAGGTTCTCCGCGACTCCGAATCTGCATTAGCCCTATTACTTTTTTGTACTTTTCATTCTCCTATATCCATTTTGCAGTAACAGGTGTCTTGAAGTATCAGGGTCCTGCCAAATCATTAGAAGACCTAAATCTAGAAAATTTTACCAAATCGAAACCCGATTTCATGATCCTGCCGTCATGATGTAACTACGAACGTACTTTATAAGCGAATCGTCCCACTCATCGATTGTCAGTAACGAACCAATCGTCTAGGGCCATCCATCAGTAACTCGGGACTTAATCACACATCTCAAAGGGCAATGTTGCCGTCAGTAACAATTACACTGAATGGACTGGGAACTGTTGATATTTTCACCTAGGTTCTGTATATTATCATCGTTTAATTCCATGAGATTTTGGCAATATAGAGGAGTAAGCTGTCTTTTAGTTGATCATAATTTAAATACATGTGTGTTGTGGCGTAATAAATTGTTTTTCTTTCTTTGTTTCTTTCTAAAACAAGTTTCATTTGACAATGTTTTAAAGATGAAACGATGATCAGGATGATGTTGCTCAAATAAAAACGAAGCAAAAGTTTCGTATACTTCCTAATCCTAATGCCGCTATCTCTTAAACTGCGATGCATAGGGATGATTCCAAATCATCGTATGCTGACGATCCCCTTGTGATACCTCTGGTGTTGCGGGTGTCCATAGGCGACGATGACCGCTTACCATCAGATGACCCGTCAGCTCATTTGCCTCGTATTCCATAAATAAAATAAATACTGCTGATGTTGTTATTAAACTGTCAAACACCAAGCGGTCACCGGTGACCGCGACCTATTGTTCTTTAATTGTGTCTATAAAACCGGTACTCGACGAGTTAATATGCTCCCTTAAAGTGTCAAACACCGCGAGGGCACCGGTGACCGCAACCTATTGTTCTTTAATTGTGTCTATAATGACGGTACTCAAAGGGTTAAGCACGATTAAAACAAATGTATTAATGTAACATTTATTTTTCTTCTGTACACCTTTCCATACACGAACTATGAGTCTTGAATCTGTTCTGGTTTCCCCCACAGCCTCCGTATAGGAAAACTTTGCAGTCTTTCTCGTTAATGTCGTAATAGTACCTTCAAAGAAGTATATAACAATTAATTAAAGTGTGGGACACTTAAAATTATGCCTTAAATATTCCAATAGATCATCATATTAAAGTATGGGAGAGCCATGCTTCGGCACGAATGGGCCGGCTCGACCGGAGTGATACCACGGCCTCATAGAAACCGACGTGAAACAACGCTCACGTTGTGTTTTGTCGTGTGAATGAGGGTACTGGAGGCTCAACTCAGCCCCCTCTCCTCAATCTCTATAATCCCTAAATCCCTAACAATCCCCAAAAGGCTGGCTGGTAATGCACGCCGACTGATTTCACCTGACATAATATAAGGCGATAACAGCGACATTAACGTCTTTAATGCCGGAATACTGAAACGTTACTCAATTTTAAATCGTGCTCAAATATCGTGCCATTTCTGTCATTTTACAAAGAATTTGTAGAGCTATACTTAAGCACGACTTAAAATTGAGTAGCGTTTCAGTATTCCGACATAAGTGTACCTATGCTTGGCTTAATAGAGATTGCATCTTTTATGAACTATTCAATAAGCACTGAAGACGGTAAAATGGTAAAATCCTTCATTGCTCACCTTTGTATTAAAGCCATGCATAGTCCAGCATTCGATTGTAAGCCGCAATATGTAGTTCTTGTTGATTCTTTTATTGCCATGAAGGCTGAGCCTGAAATGAATTGTATATTTTTGTATCGGACTAATAGGTTTTACATAAAGGATTTGCCATGTCATTACTGGATTTTCCATGAGAAGATTTCGCATAACTTCACAATCACTGTGTATCAAAATTCTTCAGGCGATCTCTTTATCGAAGTTAATCCTGTCAAGCTGTATAAGCTGTCCAAGTTATGTATAACTAGTTGTTGCCCGTGACTTCGGCCACGTAGAATATGAATTTTAGAACATAACTTATTTTGTTTTATTTTTCCAAAATAAAAGTAGCCTATGTTACTCCTTAGTACGTCAGCCGCCTGTCAATACAAGTTTTGCGAAATCGGTTCAGCCATTCCAAAGATTAGCCAGTACAAACAGACAGAGAGACAGACAGACAAAAATGTAAAAAATGTTATTTTGGAATGTGTATTGTATGTATATTCATATGCATGTAGTAAAAAGCTGTTATTTTAATATTACAAACAGACACTTCCAAATTTATTTATCTGTATAAGTAGATGGTACTTATATAAAAATAGCTAATGCAATCAGGAAAACGCATGGAGATACCTTTACAATGGCGTTCGCAGTCAACCAGGGTCGCGAAATTGTTCTTATTGCCATCACATCCGGAGAAAACGAACGACTGACATGCATCTAACTGCGCATCATAGTAGAAGCTGCAATTAAAAAGGTATAATTATGGGGACCTAAGGGCATGTTTGAACATTATTTTTATTCATGGATGAGGTTCATCGTACCACGTCTCTTCCTGACGGAAAAGTCAAGCTAAAACAAATTATCAAGGGTAATCAAGAAATCTGGTGGCTAAATTAAGTATATAAAAATAAGTCGGGTTTTCCTTCCTGACGCTATAACTCCAGAATGCACGAACCGATTTCGACGGTTTTGCATTCGTGAGATTTATAAAATATACCACAATTTTTTTTTTAATTTTAATCACCAAACGAAATAAAACGAAGCCAGAACTGGTAGCGAAACGGAGTTCGCCGGGTTTTCTAGTAAGTATAAGTTTAAACAGGGCGTTTGACGCATGGACTGACAAAAATTTTTCAAGAATTTGGGAGGTCATTAGCTACCTTTTACCAGAATACCCTTCGTCCCAAATGACACGGTTGGTCACATGATTCTTTTTATTGAAATGAAAATTTTACTAAAATTTTTCCTTTAACTCGAAATATTTTGTTTATTTGTGGGTCTAGTGCTCCAAAATAAATTGTGTTGAACTTTGTTTGTTACAAATGGTTTCCAAAAAATTCTTACAAGCTTCCAAAGTTTTATTTTTCATTCACACGTCAGACATTTTTCCACTTCTAAATTAATCCTTATCCTTACTCCTTACTAATATAATATTATAAATCTGAAAGTGAGTTTGTTTGTCCCACCTTCACTCCGTAACTACTCAACCGATTGCTTTGAATTTTTGCAGACGTAAAGTTAGAAGTCCGGATTAAATAATAGGGTACTTTTTAACCCGGAAAAAATTTATATTCCCGAGGAAAAACAAAAGTATTGGTATAGGTGGCGCTGTGTGTATTGGTATATGTCACACAGACTACTTTTTATTCTTTTGTTACGCGAGCGAAGCCGCGGGTAAAAGCTAGTTATAAATAAAATTACTTTTATTTTGAACTTAGTTTTATTTTAAAAAGTTTCTCATTTAATACTCTTTCTAACAGTATGCTCAAGTCACAGAAATTATTCATTATGTTGTAAAAATACGGGTTACTACTTTGCCGTGCCGGTATTTTTACGGGAACCAGTTATTATAAGAAGTCGGCTTCAAAAACCAAGAACTAAAAACAAACAAATGGTAACAACTAACAACCGAAAAGTAACTGTTATCAGTCATATGTGTTACTGTTTATATGTGTTACTGATAAATTACCGACCCACTGAAAGGTAAGAATTCTGTGCCACAAGCCCATTGACTTTTATAATTTCTGAAATATTTGTAAATTTGGAAAGTTTTTATTAATTTTTGCTTACGCACGTTGGGAGCCCCCGTGGTCCGGGGGCCCCGTATAACTGATACAGCAGACACGACACTAACTACGCCTCTTCCACTAACCTTTGTCTTGCAGGTCCTAGTTTTGCCCTGTAAAATAATTTTTAATGAACACTTACCTATTTAAAACATAATCATAGCATTTATGTATGACAAAATCTATTAACTCACTGTTCCTTAGCAGTACATTTACCAATTTTGGGCTGCAATTGGCACCAGAAATCCCATTTCCAAATAGTTTCTATATGACCTACAACAAGAAAAAGGTCTGTACCATGTCCCTTGAATTATGAGGGTCTTTTTCGAATATAGCCAGAAGAAAGTTTTCGAAGAATGTTTAGCAGCAAAAATAATTTTACAATTGCCCATGGGCAATTATTGCTAATAATCAAGCCATAACACCCATAACACCAAAAGAGTAATAGATGTGTAGAATTTAGAAGTATGTACCTATGACAGAAATAATGAAGAAGGTGTACAAACATGGACCTATCTCGGAGTATCACACAACAAAATCGGTTATTACGGCCACAAAATTGAAAAAAAACGAAATCCTAACTTTAACAAACAGAAAAAGTAATAAATCTTTTTAAAGAGATGGCAATCGGTAGTGACAAGACTGTAAAGGGTAAATAAGAGTCACTTGCATCAACGGAGGATTTAGTTAAATAAACAGTAGATAGGTACTGACTTCTCGTTCTCCTCTGTGGCTTCTTGCCGCGGAACAGGTCCAATGGTGTACCGAATTCTCCGACGGCCACATTGAATCTTCTGTACAAATTCCTCGGCTTCGGCGAAACACTACCGTACTCCTTCGCTGTAGTCAGAGTTGTAGAATAAATGTCTCCAGAATCATCTTCAATCGAAGATACACCCTCACACGACGCGGAAGCAACAAAAACTATGAAAACATAAAGATTTTTAATTTCAAAAATACGATTTCCCATCTTTTATTAACTTTGTGACAGGTACTCTAGCATGAAAATATATTTTAAGCGTAGAATTTATATCGTCATAAACCAGTTATCGCTCGCGCACAGCGAAATCATACGTTTTTGTATATTTACTTACATATTTAAGTTAAAAATGTGCGCAAAAGGTTCGTAAAATAACGTACTAATATAGTTTTTAGGTATAACTTGTGGTAAGCGCTATTGCACATGGATTTAGTTATCTTACGTAAACAATTGTTTACACCTCATAAAATTACTACACATTTTCATATTGAAGTTATTGAATTGAGTAATCCTAAATGTACCTATACTTTCGGGATGAGAAGAATGTAGCTGTCTGCATAATGCAATATGCACCGCGACAGAATAGTAATGATAATGATTAGTCCGTTACCAGCACATTGCAACGTTTGATCAACAACCAGAATGTTTGCTGATCTAATGGCATTTTCAATTTGCATTCAAATTCCTGAGCTCGCATTGCTGAGCTCCGCGGGAGGGGGCGGGATGCCGGCAACGTTGGATACTCGAATGCTCCAATGCCCGAATCGGATTAACGCTAACGACGCACCATTCTGTATGACCGCCGCAGTCGACCGCATTCCCGCCGTGTCCTGTGCGACACTGATAAACTGTTGCAGGATCCCCAGCCTCCACTCATTAAATTCCCCTGTTTGCCGACCGATTTATCACTGTAATAAAAATCAATACTCATTTAAGGTGGGTGTGTGCATACGTAATCAGCAATTTTTTTTTTTTTTTTTTTTTTTTTTTTTTTTTTTTTTTTTTTTTTTTTTTTTTTTTTTTTTTTTAAAACGTTGCCCCACACTAGGATTTTGCATAAGAATTTGCATACTTATACGTACCTATGGACTCTATTCATTCTTAACGGATGACTTCCCGGTGCAATGGATACTCCATTACTAGCGCGTTAATACCATTGATGACCCCATTGCCAATTGTGCCCATGTCCAGGTATCGACATTGGGCACAGTTCTGGACATCAGGATTTTCACCTGTAAAAGTAGGCGCTTTTACATGTGTAAAGAAATAGTAATGTCCAGTCATATAAGATTACAGGATGTATTTCGCGTTCCGTTTACATCCTGTAATCCTTTGGTGTCTGGATATTATTGTTTATTTTCTAGGGGTACGAAATTACAGGTAAAAGCGTCTACTTTTACAGGTGAAAATCCTGATGTCCTGAACTATGCCCAATATCGGTATCTGGGCATGGGCACAATTGGCAATGGGCTACCCATAATACGTATATCATAATCGCTGTAGAATGAGAAGTATAATCTCTTTCACGCGTAGGAAGTTCCTTAGGAACCAAATACATTCAAAAAGATATTTCCCTCCAAAGTGCGATAATAGTGACATTCGTTCAATTATGTCCAATTGGTACTTTTAAGAGTTACTTTTAATATAAGATAACTCTTGGCTATAATAATTATCTACATTAGAGACAATGGATATCATCACAAGCGCTATCGATGTTGCAAATTAGCATTCCCCAAGGAGAATCCTAATGAGAAATGTAATTTCGAGAAAGCAGATAGCTCTTCACAAAGCTTTTTAAATGTACAATTCCGAGCTGTAGGATTAATTACTATAGTTTTTCATCCCGTCTAGTCCGTCGTCGGTCGACGGAAGGCAGGATTACGAAAGGATTCCGCCGGCGACGATTAATAATTAATTGTCATTACGGTTATGGCTGCAAAGCCAATTGCCTCGCAGACTTAGCGGGATTATTTAATCTTTACGTCTGATGAAATGGTCAATGTATTGCCTGTATCGAAACAGATTAGCTAGGTAGATATATCAACGATGCTTCGTTCATTGGTGAGCTGGTTTATTGATTTTCGAACAGTAAGTTCTGTAGTAGGTAGGTACCAAGTAGACAACTAGATAGGTGTGTTTGGTTTATTTCTAGCTTAGTGAATTGTAGTTCCCATTGTTTTTAGAAAAGAAACGGATTGAAAGGCACACTAGTACAGGGAAATTTGGTAGAAAATAAAGCCACAAAAGAAACTCTTCGACATCGGCCAACAGGATTGTATCAGAACCACTCAGGTCCATTCCTTCCATTATAGCAATGATAGCCAGTATAAACCAACAAAATTCAGGATAATGAATGGGCCGCCTTATTCCCAGCATAATATAATGTAAAAACAGCGACGGTAGCAAAATAAAAGCAGACAGGCAGCCACATAAAAATTCAATCATTTCGAAAGCTTCGCTAAGATTTGTAGGCTGAAGCCAGAGAGGATTTAAATGAAATTACGACATTGTTCCGAGCGACGGCGGGCGTCGATGGACGGCCTGATGCTTGTAAATTATAAATTAAAAATATACCTATATTAATCGTTCAGATTTATGTGCTTTGTTCCAGGAGCCTTAATTAATATTGTTTGTTAAACATAAAATACATTTAATCCTGGAAAATCCAATATCTAAGTACAATTATTTTTAGTACCCACTTTAAACATTCTTTGAATTTTATGACCGTTACTATTATAGAAAGTAAAGATATTTTAAGATACCTACGAATAAACCCTGAATTCAGATTTTTACTTAAAATCTGAAAGTGTAGGTACCTACTACATTTTTAAAGGTCTTAACACTAGCTCAGTAGGTCCCTACTAAGTGTTAACAAAGACTTTGTCCGCTGTGTCGTAAAGCGTAAACAGAATTCGTTGCTATTTTTGTAGGAAAGCCTAAAAGCCTTTTACCGTGAAATGATATACGGTTCCCAATATCCTAAAATATCGGACGCATCTCGCGTTGATTGATCCCAATCGTCTATTTAATCGGGACGCGTGAAAGTGCGGTCGAGGATATGATATTTTGTTATAGATAACTTATGATTTTCTGACACCATATTTCCTTGATACATTATTATCAATTTTGTGTATATAAGTAAATATGTATTGTAAATAGACATTGGTAGGTATATACTTAGGTATTTAGGTAGTTGGCTACTCATCGTTGTTTTTTTCATTTTTGATGGGCCGACGTTTGGCCACTATCTCGTCTGGTGGTAAACGATGATGCGGTAATGCGGCCTACAATGGAGCACATCTGCCCAAGTGCCCATAATCATACAACCTATTCACTCGGATATAAATACCCAGGTTTTAACGTACTGTTACGAGAGTCCTACTATCAACTACTACTACTACTACTACTACTAGTCCCTACATATCAAGGATATAACAGTACCGTTTGTTTCATGGGTAAACAGTGACTACAGAGTGCAATCTACTACGACCCTTCCTAGGAATGTGGTTACATAGTTATTATTAATTACAGGTAGTTAGTTATCGACTTAATTATTTCTTTAGCTTCCATACCTACATGAATTTACGTAGGTATATAGTCTCTACTAAATACTAGGGATCTAAAATTAGGGATTAATATCCAGCGCGGCTAAAAATATAATAACACCAAGCTTTTTAATCCTTCAAAAGATGTCTCTTTTCGCTAGAATACCTTGGTTATGTTGATCTATGTACCCAATAGAGGGTGAGCCTATTGCCATACACGGGCCACATTCACACTTCCCAGACTCTCTACAAACGTGCAATGGTTTGCACCTACTGGTACCTGTTGAAAGGTTTGGGTTTGGAATGAAGCATATCAGTTTACGAGATTCAGCCTAACGAACGATTGACGGACGAAAAGGAAAAAGTAAAACTACATTTGGGTTAGGTACCGTCACTAATTGATCTGTTGGCTGTTTGGAGTAGGAATTTGACGTAGGTACATGTGTGAACTGAGACACCGAACTCGAAGATGGTAAATTCAATTCCATAATTTCATAGTGACACTAGAGATAGCTATTTTTATTGGCCACAGATGGAACTTAAGATTATACTCAGAGCTGTATCTATCGTCAAATAGAAATGTACCTACTGTGTTAGAACCTTTCTTTTTTGTGTTCTTGAGAATACATCGAGAATCGAACCCAGTCTCGTATTCGAGTAACAGAATACCTAGATAATACCTATCGGTCCTTTGATTTTAGTAAATAATAGCTTTGTAGTCTCTGCTTACCACTTTGCCACAAAGATGACTTTATGATGAATTGATAGAACCTATAGACTTGTAGAGGTTCCTCCATGCTTCCATTTAGGCTGGTTTTAGTCTGACGCTGGTGGCACGCGCACTCTCAGCGCTGATGACCGAAATATATGAACTTTTAAGAAAGCGTTTTTGACTGACGCGTACACAGCGCGCACGGTTCCTAGAAGTTCAAACATCTCGACTATCAGTGCCGCGGTCAGCGTGACTCTAAAATCAGCCTTAGTATTTAGTTTTAGGGTCATTATAGACACAATTAAAGAACAATAGGTTTTTTTTTTTTTTTTTTAAGGGGGGAAAATCATCGAATGACTGCTCCCGCCTGGGTGAGGCGGAAGGGAGTGTCAGACTCTTAATGACTAAAAACCACCCCGTTCCTTCTCCTGCACGTCGAGCCGGAGCCCCGGTTACCCGTTAGGTTCTCCGCGACAAGAACAATAGGTTGCGGTCACCGGTGTCCTCGCGGTGTTTGACAGTTTTAATCAACTAATAATCGAATAATAATAATAATCTCGTTCTTTTAGACAGGGCCGTCACTACACTGGGGCCCTTGGGCATACAATAATTCGGGGCCTTTTAGGAATGTTTTTTTAATCCAGACCCAAAAAAATAATTATTGGTGCACATAAAGATTTGCTCCGTGCGGGAATCGAACCCGCTAGGTACAAGTTGCGCGGCAGCCGGTTGCCGCGAAACGTGTCTTTTCGTAGAAATTAATTGTCTTTATCATTCTTTACAAGATGATGTTTAGACAGCAGAACTATTCTGAAGACAATATAAGAATACTTAATACATAATCACTTCAGGATATAAATGTTTCTATTTAGATATAACTTTTGTTTATAATGATACTGTGTCTACTCTTTTATTTTGTGTATGATGAAAGACAATCTTGTAAAATTAATTCTTTGAAGGCTTGATTACTAGCGTAGCAAAGATGTGAAGAGACACCTGGATGGTATCATAATATCTAAGCTACGCCCACTATGGTTAATTAGTTAAATTCTGAAACTGGCAGTGATCAATTTAGAATGAATCCTTACGATTTAATTAAAAATACTTTATTACTATGGACGTGCACACAACTTAGAAATTAGATTCAATTATTTCGATTCTCCTGTTCTCGTGAAACAGCAAGCCAATGCTGGACGAGCTAGAAGTAGCTAGCTCTAAGTATTTGTTTTAACATTACCATTCACCTGTCAGAACTGCAAAAAAAGATGTGTCATCCATAAACCAGACTGGTAACATACACACTCGAGGGAGCCATTTTCAAAACAAACCAAATAAAACAAATATAGGATTATATTCAATGAAACATTCAAATCCAACATAACAAACATTGGGATACTTTCAATGTTTGCACAAGCTGTATACAGACTCGCCTACACAACTGGTTCGAACCTAGTAAAATAGCTCATAATTATGTGAAACAATTAATAGACTATAATCCCATTTGCCATTTTATTATCGTCGGCATGTATCAGCTACTAAGCCACTATGTTTCTAAGTTCTTTTCAATATACCTCAAACCATGTTAATGAAAATAGCGCAACCAACACACAATGTTAACATAAAATTAACGATTTGAACAGAAACATTAGAAGGATAGCAATCGACGGAAACATCGCTTGCACTCGTATAGAACAAAGATATACTCGAGATGTGAAGTTACCTTCTCCAGACACGAAATAAAAACTAAAAAGGGTATAAATTAAATTAAGTATTATCATTTCAAACCACTAAAAATGTCTTAAAACGTCTAAGGCATCTTTACGAAAACTTATTGTATTTTTTCTTAATTTATTACATCATATATATACATAATTTCGACATAATCATTTATTTAAAAACGTAACATATCTCTGGCAGGTCAAGTATAAAATTAAACAGTAACATTATATAAAGTTATACTTTCAGGAAATAGATTCACTCCTACTATGTATAATAATCATTTCTAAGATTAATATAATATAGTATTAAGACCCACGTACTCGCATTTGTATTTTACGAATCATGTAGTGAATAACATTACCCAAAAAGTATAATTTTACAATGGATTTCTCAATGGAAAGATTCTGATTTAACCAATTATTAAATAGTAACATGTAGACCGCTTCGCTTCAGATCGCTCGGACGCTTTTAGCCAGAATTAACAATACAGTGCTAACGTTATTCTATTATGTGCAAATAAACCTAGTGTACAGTTGAGGCCGCTACTCGCTACGCCTTGTCGCGGTACTATATTAGACTAATTGATATTGCTTTAGCCCCAAACATACACGTAGGTGTTGGCAATTCGACAATCAATAAAACATTTTAGACTTTAGTATATAATATACTCCAATAATTTCTATAAAAACAGATTACACATGAAAGTTTCAGCGAGTGTCTTTTAACATTATTTTAATAGAAAAGCACAAACCCAGACATGATTGTCGTTTGTAAAGTTATGTGCAGCAGCTATGTACAGGCTTCACTAATATTTATTATCACAATACCACCATTGTAGATACAAAACCAATTATTTTACTCTATTCAAATTCATTTGACAGTCATGGTCATTAAGTTTAAGATTTCTCCATGATGCAAAAAAATGGACGCAACATGTCAAGCAAATATAATTATGTTACATGTAAAATGGTATAAAATTAATTAATGGGGGGTATATGTAAAGCGTATGTCGTTTATCACCATATTTTTCTATTTTGGAAGTTATTAATAACATATTTTATCAACTGGCTGTATTTTATACTTTGAATATTAATTAAACTATTAATATCATGCATTTCATCCAACTCGATTACTATGTTCAACATTTATAATAAAATAGTATTTTTAACATTACAAGCTTCTGACAACGTCGCTGTCACAAGGAACGATCAGCAAACCGCTTTAACTGTAAATACTTCTTTATATTACACTAGTTTGTTAATATAGTTAATCAAACAAGCGTCAACACACAGAGGCACATTTTATTACTATTCAAATTCATGTCTAAATAATGTTTCTTGTATACTCCGTGAAAATGCTTTACATTGCCGAATCACCCCAGACGACCGCGCTGCTCGACTGAGCGAGGCCGGGACAGTTGGCACAACCTTCGAGGCGACTCGCGATCTTGCCTCTGCCTCGTTCAACCAACAGCTTTCATTAAACTAATATAAAAAACAACTGTAGACATGTCAGTATGTACGGGAGGCCACGTGGTTCACTCACTGGTTTAGGGGAGACGTATTTCACAGTCTGAGCGACGCCCGCGCGCCGACTATACGTGTTCAGAAACAAACAGGTCGCCACGGTATACGCAAACTATCTACAAGATAAACTACGTGACCAAGCCGTTGCATTCGTTTGTATCATAGCGGTCACGTACAGTTTCATTGCATTATTACTGTTTAGTCAACTTGTTTTCGAAATGATTTCAAGTTTAAGTCTATTAATGCCACAGATTAATAAAATAAAATAGTGTTATACAAACATGAAAAAAATAGAATAACATAATACTCGAATGGATCACTTTACCAGCAAAACCTCTCCTGCTTCCGTGACAACACTAATATTATATGATGGCCATTTAAACTAAAGTTAGAAATCATCATAAAAGCATTTTCTAGCTTGACTATTCTATGGCCTGTGTCTATTCCACGTGATCAGGATCAGTTTCCTTCTTAGAATAAATAGGGCAGTAAAGAAAGTAAAATATTGGTGTTAGCGATGCATATAACTATATAAATAAGGCTATTAAGTTGCGTACCCAGGCGACAGTAACACGGCACAAGCAGAGTGCACATAGTCAACGTTACATTTATCTGTAATAGAAGAAGCCAAATAAATGACAACGTGGTAGAAGAGGGAAAGTAAGAGTATAGAGAGTGCAGTGGCACGCGGGGCGCGGGGCGCGGGGCGCGAACGTAGTGTAGTACTGGCGCGTACTAGCGGGCTGGGCGCGCCCGACCGGCCAACCAGGGAGCGCACGTGATGGCTCAGTTGTATATCTTGATCGCCTTCTCTAGGTAGTTGACGCGGGACCGCTTCGGCGTCTTGTTGATATGCTCCAGCCCCAGCCACGGCCGGGCCGTCGCGTCTGGAAGGGACAGATCTATATTATATTTTAGCACACATTCCATTAAGGATTGGATCTATTGTAATCAATAATTTAGAAGTTGAACATTTTCCAAAGATGTTGAGTGTTGTTATGTGCAGGAATTGATACTCACTCGCGTTACTACTTGGCCTGAAGTCATAAATGTTTATTGTCGCTCCTTCACTTATGTAGTTAGGTCTGCCATTTGTCACTATAGCGAAATTGTACTGAAAAGAATAGAAATGTGATTATAGTTTCAAATAAAATATATTCAGTATAAAAATTCCATAAAACTATATTTACCTTTTCCCACTCCTTATCAGGTATGTCGAGTTTTTTCTGCAGTCGATCCTTGACGGCCTGGAAGGGCTCGTTATGTTTGACGCGCGTGTAGAAGGGGATGCCGAATGTCGCGTACACCTGCTTGTGGAAGTGGGCACACGGCACTATGATTTCATCCTCCTGTAAATATTACAAACAAATTTCAATAAGCATAGGTATTATCTTTATAAAATAGCAACAATCCGTGTTACAAGTGTTAAAAAGTATGTAAGAGCTACATAGTTTTGTGGATATTTTGTACATTCTGCACATTTGTATGTTAATTCAAACTATAGAAAAGCTGTTTACTAATTGTGGTTTTATATGTACAGAGAGAGTGAACAAATATCTTCCTGGCCTCACTTGTACCCAGAACCACATCTTTCTATATATACAAAAGTTTTAAGTGTAAATCGGTCTTGTAAAACATAGTTTTAAAATTGGATTACGATGTTTCAGTTACGAGCGAATATTGAAAGGCTGCACAATTTTAAGTGGTATTTAAATATCATGCCATCTCTGTCATTTTCTAAATAATTTGTAGTGACAGAACTATACTTAAGCGGGACTTAGAATTGAGTAACGTTTGAGTATTCCAGCGTTGGTGACGTACCTGCAAGTTGAGCTCGTCTCTAGGTATTTCCTCTATTCTATATAGTCTGGGCGGCGATATGGTGACTTGGTCGAGCGTCAGCTCAGGATCTGGTCCCGGTAATACTTTGTGACACGACACCTCGACGATTCTTAATCTGAATACAAACAACACATTAGAATTATTAATGGGCGCTGACGTTTTTTTGGTCAAATGTAAGAACGGGTTTTTTATTCAATCACAGCAGCTGTTAAATATTGAACGTCCAATGGGGTGCCACTAGCTAATTCCCTATTGGACGAAGAACGACACGTTCACACTAGCGCCACCTGCTGAGCAAAATACGGCAGGCTCCATTACTTTCAACGTACATATCGTAATGCTCGTCTCTCACAGGTAGACTGGGGTAATAGAACGACAAATGACATGATTCTGGCAAACCTCTTTCGTTTCATCTACTTTCATACACCTCTTCATACAATACAAGCTTGTCCTTATATAATAAAATTAAAATAGGAACACATAGACATGTAGTATGAAATGTCTAAAAAAATATTGGAGAAAAAATCTATAGGAACTGTATTTTATTTAACTCTTTCAGTCACACTTTTAACTGGTTACGAATATATTTTATTCAATTATACTGAAATGCTTAAAAACCAATGCAAAGTAATTTGAAGCATACTTAAAAAAAATAATTTCTAAGAATTGGTGGTTAGTTACCGTGACCACCAAGACTGAAAGAGCTAAACATAAAATAATGAAAAGCCATATAATTTACATTACATAGTCTTAGTGACTGAGTAATACAGGTTGTAAATGGATCGCTCCTAAAAAACGCCGACAATTTATGGTAAATAACAAGTTTTATTTTTATTAAAGTAAGGAATTAAATGTTTCTTTTATGTAACGATAGTTGCAATCAACTGCTCAAGGCTGATGTTGCATGAAAATTGCACGAAAACAAAAACGATATATATTGTAAAAACAATTTTTGTTTGTCAGCGTTCCATTTACACTCTGTATCATATTTATGGAATGTTTATAAATACACAATGTTACTCACGTTCCCGAACCGTCTGGCGACATTTCGACGACCTTAGCTGCCTCTTGTAAAATATCTGACACTTTACCACCTTTATTTGGATATAAAATTAATTCCTTATCTTCTTTATAATTTGGACCAACCTGGAAAAAGAAGCATACTTTTTTAATACGAAGAGATTATTCTTGTAGACATGATGAGTTAAAATCATCTACTACAGTACAATAATCATTACACATAACATCACGCCTTTTTATCCCCGAAGGGTTAGGCAGAGGTGCACATTTCGGCACTTAATGCCACTGTACAATGTAACACCCAGTTTTCACTATTCACTATGTTATGAGTCCCATGTAATAGGTTGTGAGCCTATTGCCATATACCGGGCACATTTTTCCAGACTCCGTGCTACTACTGAGATTTTTAAAAACCCAGTAATACTTTGCCCGACCCGGGAATCGAACCCGATTTTATATCTTATCATCATTATATATATACGAAATACAAAATACGATATATACGAAATAATCATTATACTTTCAATATATTACATATTATGTGATCATTTTAAGTGATGTATGCTACCAAACTAATGATAGCACATTTCAAATTACTTCAGAAAATAACTGTATATTAATTAAGGTTATTGCAAAAAGTCCGACTTACCCATAAACATTTAAACTGTTTTTTGTTATCCAATTCATTAACTTTAATAGATAATATCTGATAGAACAACTTCTTAGGGCACTTTGGTTTACAGTACACTAACAAATCCTTAAGTATTCCGTCGTATGAGTATCTGAGTGGAAGTCCCGGGGTATCCTTGTAGCTGCAACAAGTTTAAATATAGTTGATCATAACTATAAACAACCGCCTTTCAAATGTAGTTTTTACATGCAACTTTTTTAAGATAATTTTATTTCTGACCCATTTCGCTAATTAGCTTTGGGGTTCACCTTTGAATCTCAACAATATTAAGCCTAATAAAATACTGACATTCAGCCAAATTTTATGTAAGGTATCTGTCACCATTTTCCACTTGGTGGAATACCTGGTTCCTAGTACAATTTAAGTGGATGTATCACATTTCGTCAAGGTAAAAAACAAGATACTATTGAGTAACTGTGGAGTTCCAATATTTCAAAATACTAACTTTTGACACTTGAAGAACTGTATTAAGTAGGGGTCGACGTTGAGCCTTTGTCCGACTGCTCGCGCCATCTGGTCGTAACGCATCTGCATCGACAACTCCATAGTAAACCTGTACCACACAATACAAAACAATATTATAATTCATTCTAAAATAAAAAACAACATAATACAATAATTATAATTTATTGTAAATACTGATTAGACTGGTTTATTGATACTCTATATTGTTCAAGGGACAATCAAAAGTATTTATCAACAACTACCACATAAAAAACTGTCGAACTTACATCATGTGTTCAATACAAATCTTGAAAATTAACTCTAAAATAGGTTTGATTGCAAATGAAACCGTATTATTATTAGTTATAAGATTCAATTCAATATGTCTGCATAATAGGAACATATATCTCACCCAGGGTCGTTAGGGACAGTCTTATCCACAAATTGCACCTCGACCTTGTAGAAGATGTACTTGAAGTAGTCCTGGCAGGTTGGCAGCTCTAGGTCCTCGTGTCGATGATCAGCACGCTCGAAAACGATGATGTCGCCGTCCATCAGCTCGTCCAATACCTGGCCGCGTGCACACGACTCAACCCGAGGGTAGCCCGCCTTATGCCCTCCCTCCAGAGTTTGTGGCGTATACCAACATGCATGTATCGTGTCATTACTAATCTTGTGTCACTAGTACTACTGTGATGCAGACATTATTCATTGTTCTAATGCTCCGCTATTCACATTGATCGAGTTCATTCATTCAGAATACAATAGCTACGAATTTCGCACGCTATTTAGAACTTTTGCGTGTTCAATTGTTATGCAAATTACGTAAAATTACATCGTATATTATAGAGGTATGCAAAGTAATAAAACTGAGCGAGCTTGAATAAGACATTACGATTTGGGCTCAAAGTAATAATATCACTTAGATTGTAATAAAGATACGGCAATATATATGCGAAATGATAGATTTATTGTCGTTTTGAGCTCAAAATAATATCATGTTAGGCTCAATAATCACAGCGTACATATCATAGATTACTAAAAAAAGATACATGTTCGTATACAACACAATTCTCTGGAGGAATGACGTAAGGTGAAGAAGTAACTCAGCATAATAAGAAGCAAGTGGCTTGTGATCGAATGATGAGTCACTCAAGTTTATTTTAATAAGACCGAGACTAATAAACGAAACATACGCTTGGGTAGCTATTATTATTTTTCCTTTAGACATACTTTAAAAGTACGATAACAATAACATTTGCTTAGAACATACGCGTATTACTCTCGGTTTTATGTTTAAATTCTATTCAGTAATTTGAAAGGCAAGTTAAAAAAGTCTACGAAAAAGAGTAATGTTAAAATTCATTTTACATTTACATAAATTACTGAATATATTTCTTTGTGTGGGATTAAGAGTATAGAAGTGATGTGATTGAGAAAGCGTTGTGTTAGAATGATATAAATTAATATAAGTAAATGAATAAGCTGATAAATATGATATAAATACAAAGCACTGTTCAGAGAATGAATTTATAACAGTTTTAGTTTGATTTCTGAAGTTAAAAAAGGTTAAACATCTGTTATGGGATTCCCGCAACTAAAATAGAAGTGGCCTTCAAGCAAGATGCGTGTTTTTGTTCTTATTATAATGTACAGAAGTGATAAAATTGCAAGCTTTTTTTACCTGTTTTTTATACAACACAGATGAATGTTATAAAGGTGATATATTGACCCAGTAACCAGTAAAGCTATGGTATGGAAAAAACCAGCGAATGTAAGAGAAAATAAAAAAAGCTAATTTCTGAACAGTGCCACATGAAATTACATATAATAATGATATGATAATAAATAAATTACTATTTAAATACTATACCTGAGCCAGCAATACCTGAATGGGGGATCAAACTAGAACTAAAATCGATCGTAACATTACACTATTTAAACCTAACCATGTATAGAGACAAATAAAATACATTTTACATAGAATTAAAAACTTTTTGGGGGCAATCAATCACATATACATATAAATAACTTTAATTATATAGAACAACAAATTAATTATCTAAATACATAGTTGCTTGGGAAGATATTTGTGTAGTAAAGACTTATAACTATAGTATATTTCAGTGGGATAAAACTGATAAATAATACCTTTTCAAGAGGTTCGCTGTAGTTATTAATTTTCTCAACAAAGTCTGGTTTAATCTCTTCGTATAGGACGAGTGGTGTGTCAGGTGGGAATCCTAGAAAAAAGAAAAAGTTAGTAAAATAAGTGCCATTGACTACTACCAAGAATGGGTCATGCAGTTTTTATACAATCTTAAGTTAAAGGTGGTTGCACACAACTGTAAACTCACACACACAACATCACGCCTTTTATCCCCGAAGGGGTAGGCAGAGGTGTACACAGAAGTAACACCCACTTTTCACTAATTATGTTATGAGTCCCATGTAATAGGGAGTGAGCTTATTGCCATATACCGGGCACAATTCCAGACTCCGTGCCAGTACTAAGATTTTTTTTTAAACCCAGTAATACTTTGCTCCACTCGGGAGTCGAACCCGAGACCCCTTGCCCGGCAGTCGCACTTGCGACCACTCGGACAAATGTAAACTTTACACAAATAACATATTTTATCGTCAGCATTCCTATACAAAAGACCAAAATCTCTACTGAACAAATCGATGCTTTTCCAATGGAATTTCACGACAAAAATAGTGACTTCATACACAAGTAAACCGCACCAATATGACGTCATTTCTAATTTTTAAATAACTCTTACACTAAAAAGCCAATATTTCATAAACACGTGTTTAAGCACAAAGTTATAGATCATTATCTCCAGCTATAAAAAACGTTTCGATTTAGAATGGAAATATGGTAAAATTAATTTGAATTGTAACATCAATAGAAATAGAAATAAATAATTTATTAGATATGATAGAAAGGTCAACGACCTAAAAGACTTGTTATTGTCAATAGAATCAATATTGCGGTAAAACATTCGACCATGGATAGGTTAATTTAACTGCACGATTGGCATAGTACTTGCGCGACGAGACGCTGATCAACATCAAGTCGCGTATCAAGCACAAAATCATTATTTCTATCCAGCACAGAAGGGCCACCAATTGGGTAACCAAGTCAGAATAAATCCTGGAGCTCAAAAGCAGTTCTACTTATTGTAGCGTTTGAGTACGAATTATCGAATGGTAAAATACAAATTCTAATTAAGAATAGATTTAAGTTCTCACATTAAGCAATAGTGACTCATTGGCTCAGTCAATATCTAAACCTGACCTACATAATGTTAAAAAAACATTTTATAAATACTACTCTGGTTCTCATTCAAATGAATAGGGTACTAGACAGTGTATGAAAATAAAAAATGTAATTAGTCCGTCAGTTAGATAATGAAAAACTATAATCGCCGTCGTATAAGAAAATAGTAGTTAGATAAAATGAAGTTAAGTTTAGGAGTGGAAGGTCGTCACGCTACCCTAAAATAAAGTGTAGTAAATCGTGACGTCGCACGATATTTCAAATCAATATATCGTCGACAGTATTTAATTTTGTAAGAAAAGAAAAACGTATCTAATGTTTTAAAATAATCTACCAGACAGTCATTAGGTAAAATAAAATTTAGGATACTACCCTATTTTAATGAGTTTTATCATTAATTAAACACTCATTCATTAATAGATTACAAAATCTCCATATGACTAAGAAAAGAGTATTTTAATTACCTGCACGCTTATTAAGTATAGGAATAAGATCAGCGGGCTTGCTGGCGATCGGCAAATAATGGTGACCACAGTAATGTATGCGCTTCTGTTTAGGGTCATAGAACTTGAAAAACAACACCACATCATTCTCCTTGTCGAAGGTCGGGAGCGCGCTGAAGCCGGAGTCAGGGGGTAACATCTCCAAGAATATGTTCCACGGGTTCATATTCTCGGAGACGTCTGACACAGTCTTGTGTTGGTCGTTGACAATGTCTAGGCAAGTTGGTCTGCATGTCTGTAAAGATTTATGTTATTTAGCTAGTTTTTATTCCATATGTTAGGATGTATTAAAATTGTATAAGAAATTATTGCTCAGTTCTAGAAGCTATGAACCGTCGCGTAGATAACAGTGGCTGCGCGACGCTTATTGGCTACGTTAAGCACATGAGTATGAGCCCCTGGAGTAGCTTTAAACTATTCGAGTTAACTTTTCAACCAGTTATATGAAATGTGAGTTAGCTATAAAATATTTAACACAAAAAAAATTGTCTCGAGTAGTAAAATTTTGTGAAAACGCTATGTATAAACTATATGACATGATACATGCAGTCAATACTAAACAGTTATTAATTTACCTGGTTAGAACGCGCACTGAAAGGCCACGGCCTGAGCTGCTTGAGTGGGTACTTGAAGTTCTCAGCTAACATCTCCATGAGCTCAGCGACAGTGGCCTGCTTTCTAACACGGAACACGCGATAGTGCGCTCTCTCCGGATCATATAGATCGTTACCCTGATGACCGTCAAACGCCTCCTCTAGGACTACATTTACATTCATATATAGATGAGCTTCGTTGCGTTCTTTGCGACGGATCTGTTGGAAGAAAAGTGGTTTTAATTCCTGTTTTGATGTTCTTTATGTCGAGTTGCCTATGCTGTGTGTCGCATCTGTTATCGCACATGCTGCTTATGATAATGATTATAGGCTCCGTCGTGGCTTGAAATCAGTCGAGATACCTCGTCGAACAACCATACAAAATAATTAATTACCAAGTCAGTGATAAATAAATCTCTAATAAAAATTATTATCTTACTATTTTTAAATCGACAAACAACTTACGGTTTCAATTCTCTTTTCTTCAGCTAGTCTTTCGCTCAACTCTGTAGGAATATCAGCCTGAGTCACCTCTTGCAAAACAGTCTTTAACTGTGAGTCCCTAAAAAGAAAAGTCATGATCAGTTCGAAAAGACACCTTCAAGTATGATTAATAAAAGTACTTATTATAAAAGATTTATGCCCGTTTTTACCAAACTCTAAATATTAGGGAACCCCTTTTTTATGGTGTAAACGAGCAGACGGATCCCTGACAGTAAGCAATCGCCGCCGCCCATGGGTACCCGGAATACCAGAGGCGTTACATGTTACCGGCCTTATCGAGATCAGGACTTTTAAGGTTTCAGAGATGGAGGAGATTCATTCATCACTCCGGTCGAGCCGGCCGATTCGTATCGAAGCATGGCTCTCTTACTGTTATGAGCTAAGCTAAGATAGATAAGTTAGCTAGATTTCACCAAACTTTAAGTGACACTAATAAAAGATTAATTTAGGTGCTCCCTCATGCTCAGTAACTCTTACGCCCAAATACTGAAAGGCTACTAAATTTTAAGTTATAGGTACTTAAATATCGTGCCATCTCTAATATTTTACAACGAATTTGTAATGACAGAACTATACTTAAGCGCGTCCTAATATTGAGTGGCATTTGAGTATTAAGACATTAGTCAAAAGATTGTTTAAGAATGATTAGTGAAAATGGGCTTAAGACGAATTTCTTGAACAGTTTGCAATAGTATAAATAATATATTTTCTCACCTTATATAAACCAACATGTAAGCATTGGTGCAATGACGGACAGTCAACGTCATGTCCTCATCGTGTCCGCCGTAGTTGTACTCTATGGCTTCCTGCTTGGTACAACGTGATACCACGTCATCATCGAATTTGCACCACTAGCAAAAACAAAAGAAGTATTTTTAAAACAGTTATGTGAAATCTGGAGTCGACAGTAGGTTATAAACCAATTACGTGCTCGTACACAAAACTGCGATGTGACGTCGCATAGCAAAAATGTGCGAGCTCTACGCATCGCAAGAACTTGCGAATTGATACGCATCGCGTATCAAAATCTTATCTTCTCAAAATCTACTTTGTTCCTTTTTCCTGTATCAAGAACCAAGACGAAATTTGTTTATTATTTTGTGTAGGTACTAATTATTTTATATTTTTTCGTCCATATGTCGATCTGTCAATGGAAAAAACATCTCTTTCTCACCTTGCCATCACCCTTAGGGTTGATGAAGACTACGTAGTGTCCACCGTGGTTGTCTCCTGAGTGGACCAGTACAGCATGTAGTGTGTAGTCGGCTGGTGTCTCGGGTTTCTCTTGTAGGTACGCATCTAAGTTGATATGTTCATAGAACTCAAACCTAAAGGAAAGAAGTTAACATTTAACTCTAAGAATTTAAGTCAAAAGGCGATGATAAATTTAATATTTGATTGGAAAATGCCGAGTACCTACTTTTTTTTTTCTTTAAACTCAATCGAAAATTTCTTGATCTAACTAAGGTGTTGACAAAAATCCAATACATGAATAAATGTCCCAATACGGAACGAATGAGAATTGGAATGAGATCGGTTCCTAATTTTAGGCCGATAGCAGGTCTATTCTTGATGACTCATAGCGTTTAGTGACATTACGACGCAAATAGTTTACGAAGTAAGAGCTAATTATTTAAAGTTTTGAGTCAGTACCCTCCTAGGACCCAAGTTCATCTAGATTCTTGAAAAAAGTCTAATAGTATTTTTCAGTAAGACCTATTGTCTACAAACTTACCTATCATTAAACTTGACTGAGCTATCCGTGATGGGATCATATTGGAACCGCATGAGGTGTAAGTGGAGTACGGGAGGGAATGACGCAAAGATCACTCCCTTCTCCGCCTCTTGGAGACCATGCTCTCCGGCGTCATATTTATTCTCACCATCCAGGGTCTCTGTGCTGATGTAGTCTTTGAATGATTCATCAACTGCAAGAGAGGAATATCAATTGGTTAAATACTCGTACATAATCGTATCAGAAAAAAGTCTTGGTGGCTTATTATGATGTCTTAAAGCCAGAGCATTTCCGTTGAGGGAACGAGATCGCGCTAGACGACTTGTATAGCTCTGTTTCTTTCCCTCAACGGAACCATTTTGACTTTAGGACGTCATAATAATCCCGTTGTAATATTAAGTTAAAGCGATTGATTGACTGCTAGACAACGCTGGACAAACCGCTGTTGTACAACATATCGCAGGGTGCCGCAGAAATTACTACAAAAGTCCTTCTATAGTATGTGACATTTTTTTAATATTTTGAAGGTACATATATTTTTTTTATAAAATAAAGTTTGCTCCTGCAAGCCACTAGGTGCAGATTGTGTCCTACCGGCCGAACTGGAAGTCATCGAGATACGCCTATGTGAAATGGGAACATAGGCAGTGGATGTATTAAGGTCGGTATGACGACTATTAGTTTTAAATAAATAAATAGTATACACTCACTGTTCTTCTTTCCTTTAATATTAAGTTGTATATCGTAAAATGTTTCGACACGCGTGCTGGAGACGTTGACATTCTTGCATTTGATGTACGACGTCATCTTGCCTTCGAACAGACGAGGAACTGTTCCTTCTACGCATGTACCCTTCATTTTACTTTCCAATTTATCTAACAATACCTGTAAAGAAGAGTTGGATCTTAACTTCTAAAGTTTAAACGATATACTATCAGTTAACGGGAGAAGAAAGAAAATAGTTCGTCTTATTTGGCACTAGCTGTTGGCTATGACTTCGTCCGCGTAGATTATGATTCCTGTTTCATCCCATTTAACCTGCATAAATGCTCCCTGCATTTAACCTGGATAAAAAGTCTAACTCTATCACCTAAGTACACCCATACCCTGCCTGTATACCAAATTTCATCAAAATCCGTTCAGTAGTTTCAGCGTGATTGACGGACAAACATCCAAACAAAGAAACTTTCACATTTATAGTATTAGCATGATGGTGACGATCACCATGTTTTATAGAAGATATTAAAAATCGAAACCGAACGTTTTACGTGTCAACTCCTATCAGAAGCATAACTAAGAGCTATGCGTCATCTTAAACAGATGGTCAAAGTGCACTTACCCTAAGAAACTCCTGCACATCATGCTGCATAAAAGAGTCCAGTGTCTCCCATCCAAAACTCTTTGTAAGCTTCTTCGTGCCGACTGGCTTATCAGAAAACTGAAGCTCATAGAAAACTCTCTGCAGAGCCAGTGCCACAGACCTACATAAACAGAAAATATAAGTATCTAAATTCCTATTATTATCGTATTAGCTCTGCCGACTTTCAAGCAGATCTAAACGGATTTCCAGGTATTAGATAGAACGACCTTCAACATAAATTAGTCAGACGATTATACCTATATACTGGAATAGTTAGGACAGCTCAATAAAACAACATTTACCTGGTACTATCGTCAGATTCTGTGGGCATCTTGTAAACAGCTTTACGTAGTTGATTTGTAAAGTATAAAGTTTGTAACAACGAATTCATGTAGCACGTCGCGCCTTGGTTCTTGAGACCTAGAATAAACATGAATCTCTTTTTAGCTACGGCGCCAACATTTCAATTTGAAATTAGAGGAATTTTTGCATGCAAAATCATTTGATTTGATCGATTTACTTGTACCCACAATACGAATACGCAAACATACGAAGACAAATTAATTAAAACGGCGCAAAGGTCCTCTTGGAATTATTCTCCAGCCACGTGTATTTATTCGGCAATACTCACCGACATATCCAGTATGTTTCTTAGAATCCCAAGAGACACCGTGAGGTGCTTCTGCGGTCACGTGCACTTCCAACGTGATTGCGTCGTCCTTTATATAACCCTTCTCGGGGTCCAATACATCGTTCCAAGCCATGAAGTGGGAGAAACCCCAATCATTTTCTTTGCTGAAGATTGTGATATGAAATGTATTACATACAACATTCGAGGATTAAACCGACTACAACTATGAGCATCAATATCTGGCAGAAAGATTATCTCAAAACAAAAACATGTTGTGCTAATTCTCCGACAATTGAACTTTACAATACTAGCTTTTAAGCACTGGTTTACTGTTCCCTAACCAGACTTTATCAAGAATTAGCGCAACACATCTCCCTCGATTAAACCCAGCAAAAACTGAAAAATAAATCAACAAACCTATAAAACAAGTGTTGAATCTTCCTAAAGAAGGGTTCAGTATCTGGCTTGTGGGAGATAAGTCTTAACTCTGCCATAGCATAGCATGACCAACTCGAGGACTCACTCTCCCCATTACACTGCAGGAAGAATCCTAGTGACTTCTGCTGTTGTCGGTCGGGGGACGGCGCTTGTCTCGGCATCACCATAATCTTCCACGGTAAGTTCCGGACGTAGCACGCCGGGGACAGTACGGAATCTTTCAAGTTCCTGAAGTTCTGTACCGTGAAGCGGAATGTCGTCTCTGACCGCGCCTCGTCATCCTCCATCTCGGTGTCGAGACAAGCCAGCTGTGGATGAAAACATCATGCTAATACTACTCTGTAATTACAATATGCTAATTTATTTTGAAAGTAATCTCTAAAATTGTACTTTCTCTAATATTACGTTCTGAATATCAGTGATACAAATAAAATTAAAATATTGTACCATTTTACGGCAACTATTATGGAGTATAGTTGAAAGTCATGAAGATTAGATATATCAAGAAATAGAAGGGCCATTACGAGGCGAACGTGTGATGGTATCTTTCAAATGGATCATATACAGTACGACGTGGGCGACACGAGACATACCTAGATGTTCATTCAATGTTCTATGTAAAACTACTATATTATTCAGAGACTTAGGAGACACTACCAAGAATCGCAAATGTTCGCACATTACTTTTATAGACACACGAAAACGTGATACAGGTATTATCTGATAAATTAGACCCAGTATCTGTTTATCAGACCTTACTTTGAGATTCAAATGTACCTCTATCTCTATTACAAAGATATTTGGTTTTCAATGAGGAAAATTGTCAAACAACTTTGTGGATCTCTTGGAAACTGATGAGGTGGAATGTTTGTAAATAAACAGTTGAAATGAGGCTACAATAGTTGTGGTTTTATTCCTTTTTTGAAGACATAGGATGATCAGAGTTTCTCTTGTTACTGTGTTGTCATGATTTTCCCTATTCTAATGACAACATTATTTTATGTTTCTCTTCTAATTATAACATTATGACTTGTGTGGTCTGAAGATAGATAATAATTAGGATATTGGTTGCATAAGTTATTTGAACAGGTACTATACAGTGTCAGTCAAAATTATAGAAAACATCTTCAAATTCTCACTGGCATATCTGAAGATGTGGTCTCCTGATTCTTCATAACCTCGCCCATGACTACCTCGCCGTTGGGACCTTTCATAAGTTCGTCGTCCCAGGTCTTGTCAGTGACAGCGTCTACAGTTTCCACTGTAAAGAAAAAAAACATCATTATGTACTACTGTTTCATTCAAACACATGACATTGACTAAAGATACACAATCATGTAATCTATCCTCATGATATCAATTTCATAGGTGAATGACATTGAAGAACATTTTCTTGGAATATTCTTAAAAATATGTCTACAATATGTAAACAAAAAACAGATGTTCTGTGTAGGAACTTAGCAGTGTCTTATTAAAACAATTTTCTCATAAAAAATGATTTGGTAAAACTTGAAAATTTGCAGAAGACAAGAGTTTGTAAAAATGTTACCTCTATTTGATTTGGACGTGCAGCACACTAAAGTAAACTTAACAATTAAAATAAAATACAGCAACTAAGCAGGAGAAACAAATCTGTCCATTGTTTTACAGATATGAATTTTGACATTTATTCACTGTCAACCTGACAAAGCATTTAGAGGAAAAATATTTTGTACAACCAGGATTTTTATGTGCAAACTCTTTGAAGTTTTATCTACAAAATAATTTCACTAATTGATTACCCAAATTAAAATCATAAAAATATTAATCCATCTTTAAAAATAACATTCAGTATAACAACTCTAGACACATACACCTCACATGTTTTGAGTCACTTCAATAAAAGTTAGTAAAAGAGTCCTTACCTAATATTTTTAACTTACAACTGCTTATCACTCATTCATGCTAGTGTTATCAATAAGTAATCAAAGTAAAGAACTAAATTCAAGTTCAAAGTAAAAACATGGACATGAAAACCTTCTAAACTGAGCAGTGACTTAGAATGAACAAACACAAAATACTTGTGCTTATCTCCACTACGGATAGATAAAAGATAAATATCAATAAATTCTTATAACATATCATGAGGATTTTTGACATGACAACTTTGTTTATTTTTATGTTTTCTATTAATCCTCACCAGTTGGCAGTGCTGCACATTCATTCATGCATGTAAAGATCACATTGACATTTAAATACTCTGAGGTTACCAGTACTTCAATATAAATACACCCCACCAAAGCTATCTATACAAAAAATTTATTTATAAAGCAAATTAATAAACAACACTAATTTAATTACATTCCAACCAAATTCAATAATGCTAAACATATCAAACATTCATCTAGACAAAGATATTCTATAATTAGATATTTTTGTTACACACTCAGACAGCGACTTGCACTTTTGAAACAAAGAAAGCCACACTCCAAATCAAATAAGTAAACACATGAATACACATTTTAATCTTAGCTTTTCACTGCTGGTAATCAAATGTCACTACACATAAATTAATACTTTGTCAATTTACTGAATACATTTTGAGGTTATGTGGGGTAATCTGGTTAACAAATAAGTTCAATAACACTCGTAAAACCGCGTACTAAGCATTTATAAACTACCTATGACGATTGTTAGAATTTAGGGTGTAATTAGATTCTACCTACACAATATGGGCGAAAAAAAAGAGATTGTAATGTAAATATTGTGACATCACTAACCATCTTGAGTCTCCATCTCCTCCACCTGATTAACATTGGAGTCGTGCTGATGCTGCCTGTCCGGTGCAGGCGTGTGGTTCATGTTAGCCGGGCGCGCCACGGGGGACTCTCGCCCACTACTCTTGGTTATTTCCTGAACAAATATTCCACCATAAGAATAGACTGTACGCTCACAGCTTATTCGCACTTATGACGTCCGAACTCCGATTACTGCACTTCACGTACCTCTAACGCTAGGGGATTGCTCCCTTTGAACTTGGTAATTATCCGAACTTTTCTCATCAACTCTGGTACCCTGCGTAGGTGGGTTTTTATTTTTCTTCCACGTAATGCTGTTAATTTTCAAATATGTTTACTAGCGGCGCGGACGATGTCTGCAAATTTCAACACAAGGGCCCGATAATAGATAGGAACGCTAATAGCACATTCCTAATCTTATATTCATTGCCAGGAGTAATAGATCACTCTGTTGTCTAGCGGTAAAACAGGAATATTCTACGGCGTATCCGGGAAAAGACTTATTTTCGCGAAAATAAACAAAATGGTGGATGTTAATTTAATTTCTGGCTTCGGATGTGTGGCCCGGTTTGATCGACGAATGCACCATTTTATCATTCTCTCACATTCACCATAGTGTTGTGCGCATTGTAAACTGTTTTGGATTCATCCGAAATGTTTTTGAAAAGTGTCTATAACTTTTTATTTTCTTTTTAATGTAATTAAATAAATATAAACATAAATAATAATTGATTTTATAACACATACCAATTTTATGCATCAAAATACATTAAAAATTAAATATTTTTGATAAGTCAATTTTGTATTTTGTTCGATTTTATTCTTCCTGATTAGTTTTTAGCTAATAACAATTTATTTGGTATATTGTCCATTATTAATAATTATACATAATAAAAACTTAGCCGAAAAATCGTAATTTTTTCCAATATCGGTTTTTCCATTTGTCAACATTTTATTATCTGTGAAATAAATGTTGCTATGGCAAAAAATTAAATAAAAATTAAATTAAAAAAAATCGCGATGCGCTTATCTTCATTGTTTAGCTTCAGTTTCTGTGTATCTTTATTTATAATACCAAACGAGTTTTTTCATATATTATTTATAAATTATATAAAAAACAATGAAGTGGAGAAGTACTGTACCTTTTTTGTATTGGCAATCCTTAGCGGAAGTTTTCAACGGTACATTTTCTCTGATTGGTGGATTGCTGAGGAAAACGCATCTTCGTGATCGACTGTCAACCGGAATGACAAAAATGACAATGACAGCTGTGTGACACAAAAGAAAACAGTCACAAAACCTTTCCGTTTGCCAATAATTTGCCTTGTAAAGTTGTAAATAAGCGAAGGATCAAAGCGTTGTTTTTGACTGAATAATGTTAAGTCGTTAAAACATATACAATAACAATGTTTCCTATAAATCACAAAACTATATTTGTGCTAGACCACACACCGTACTTCGGTATATCATCTGATAATCCAATAGACTTTGATGTGCCGAAGAACCGGGGTTATTTGCCTGTCCCACCGATCTGTAAGTCATTATGGACATGCAGTGTGGAAGCCGCAGTAGAGTACTGCAGGATAGTATGGGATTTATTTCCTGAAGGCAAACTGGTAGGTATCAGCTGTTGCTTGTTTCAGTCTGACTTTGGATGCACTCTGTTCATCTCTGATAGTAACTAATGATATCTAGATGGTACTTAGTAAAACAACCTACTCAGTAAATTACTTAATGATTTCAGGTGCGGTTTGTTGTGAGTGACAACACAGCCCACATGCTGAATACATGGGTTGCTTCACAACAAAACTTAACACATGTAAGTTTCTATGTTTGTGCTCATTGGCATGCTAGTACTGCTACCTGCCTACGCACCTAAATTTGAAGACTAGTATCTGAGCTGTTATTTTATCTATATATCGCACGCTGAGAACGAAAGTGACCTATTTCAAAATTTTGATAAAATGAGTTAATTATACGTAATGACTCAAAAAAGTATACGCTACCACACTAGTATTAAAAAACGGACCTAATATGGTCAGAGAGAGCTAGGACACATATTCGGTCTCTTTTTAGTAGACCGCTTTACACGCGCCGCGCCCGAGGGAAAGAGACGTAATCAGTATTGTACCGCACGTGATGTAAACAGGTCGTGACGAGTTTAGTGCAGCAGTGACCGATTACGCTTTGAGCCTGTTTTGTATCAACTTAGGAGGTAAGTTTTGTTTCAATATTTAATCATAAAGTGACCGATTGAGACAAAGGTCACTTTACCTTTTCTTATATAAGCAACTTATGTGTCCAAAATCAAGTTCAGTCACTTATTTATTCACGTATAAGTTTAACTCAAAGACTCATTGTAAATTAGGTTATTTTAATATTAAATAGATATTTTTTTATTTGTACTATTATAAAAAAAGACTCTTTAACATTATTATGATGTGTTTTACAAAAGACATATTGATTAATAGTTCACTTTATTGTTTTTCAGAGTTGCATAATATCATAATTAAGCCTGTTATCTAAAAAGATAAAAATGAAAAGGAGTGCATTAATACTTCAAATGGTGGACGAAAAACAAAAAACCGAGGTAATTAATTATTTTTTATTTAATTAAAGTATTGAAATGTTTAATTAGCCGTTATTTATTAAGTACCTAAACGTTTTATATTCTCGTTTTTTATCATTACGTATGTACAGAATGGTTGTAAACTAAGATTTTGTTTGCAGAATACTAATGAGGCTTGTGATATCGACAAGGAAAATGTACCATCTAGTCCTTCTATTATAGAAAATTCACCACCACCAGACCAGGGCATTCAAATAGCATTACGCGAAAACAAGATATTGAAACCGATAGGTGTAAGTGTTTCATTATTTTTATTAGCGGTGTGAAACCTCATACCTATTTAATTAGATTTTGTAATCTTTATCTTTTTTCCAGGATGTTCAGAATCCTCAGCAAGAGATAAATGATGCATCAGAAACTATCGATAAGACGTCAAGTAAAGTGTTTGCCGTCCGGCCACGTTCAAGAATTTCAAGTAGTAGCAGTTCATCCTCATCTTCATCTTCATCCTCGAGTAGATCTTCATCCTCCAGTAGCAGATCTTCATCCTCCAGTAGCACGGACAAATCTGAGACTGTAGCAATTCCTGGCCCAAGTACTAATTTAAGGCCTCAAGCAGGTATTCCACGTTCGTACACTCAATCGCCAGTTAATCCACAAGAAAGTGATGTGGATCTAAGCGACTCAGATCCAACATACCATACTGAACAATCCAACAATCCAAGGAGTAGACGTATTTCCAGCTCTTCATCTGCCGCCAATTCATTGGTCCAACCAGAACCCTCAAAGAGTAGAAAACGAAAAAGGAACCCTGTTAATTGGAAGCAAAACCAATCTAAAAAGTCAAGAAACTCTGGAGAGAGTTATAGGTCTATGGCAAAATCTAAAAAAGTCATTCCAGCTAGACAAATCAAAGAAACTTGTACAAGTAAGTGTAGGCTTAAGTGTTTCAATAATATAAATGAGACTGAGAGATCTGAATTATTTAAGAATTATTGGGCTTTGTCCAATTTGGAATTACAACGTTCATATATTAGGGCATCCATGATGGAAGTACAACCTAGATATAGATATTCTAATGCTCAAAATCCTCGCCTGCCAAACAATGCGTTTTATTTCACTGTAAATGGTAATAGAGTTCGTGTTTGTAAACAATTTTTTATAAATACTTTAGACATATCGGATAGACAACTAAGAACTGTCAAGAGTAAAACTAATAGCCATGGTTTCGTAGAACCTGAGGGTAGAGGTCGGCATGAAAACAAAAAAAGGGTAGACCCTGAGCTAATACAATGCATCAAAAATCACATAAATACGATACCGAGGGTCGAGTCTCATTATTTAAGAGCTACGACTAGTAGGGAATTCATATCTGACAGTAAAACTATCAGAGACCTCTGGACTGATTTTAATAATGAACAAAAAGACAGAAGTCTCCCGCAGTGCGACTATTGGTTATACCTGAACACTTTTAATAAAGATTTCAATATAAGCTTTTTCCAGGCGAAAAAAGATAGGTGTGAAACGTGTGTTGCATATGAACTTGCCCCCGCAAGTACGAAATTACTGCTAAAACCTAAATATGATACACATCTTAAAGAAAAAGAACTGTGTCGCAATGAAAAACGGATGGATCGTCAAAATATTGATGAGACACATATTTGCGCAATATATGACCTTCAGTCTGTTATGTTATGTCCTAGTCCTGATTATTTTTACTATTCTTCCAAAATAAACTGTCTTAATTTTACAATTACACAATTAAAAAATGGGGAGGATGATAAAAAGTCTTACGGAGATGTTTATTGTTATTTTTGGGATGAAACCCAAGGCCAAAGAGGTGCCAATGAAATAGGTTCGTGTATTTTTGATTACCTTAGTACTTTAAACAGAAATAACGCAGGTAAGAAGTTACATGTAACTTTTTACTCTGACAACTGCACAGGTCAAAATAAAAATAAAATCATTGCCACTTTATACTCCTATGCTGTCACATATTTTGATAATATTTACAGTATTACTCATAAGTATCTAATCAAAGGACATACTCAAAATGAAGCTGATAATGTACACAGCTTAATTGAAAAAGAAATTAAAAAAAACATTAAAGCTGGACCCTTATACATACCTGTTCAATTCGCTACCTTAATTAAAAGCGCTCGTAAATCAGGAAAGCCTTTCATCGTTAAAGAAATAAATTACGAATTTTTCTTAAATCTCAAAAAACTCCAAGAACAATGGGCATACAATTTTAACGAAAATATAAATAAATTACCAGTATTGTGGAATGAAATTAAATCAATAAAATTTATTAAAGAGGAGTTGTTTCACTTGTATTATAAAATATCATATTCTGATGAGGTGTTCTCTGAGATTGACATGAGGAATAAACGTAAAAAAATGTTAAGTTACAACGAAATCCTGATTGAACAATTGTATAAGCAACCAATAGAGTTAAAAGAAAATAAAAAAAGAGATCTTAAAGATTTAGTAAGAAAAAATTTAATACCTAGCATATATGCGAGTTTTTATAATTCCTTATAGATTAATCGTTGTAATAACAAAGTTAATAAATAAAGTTAGTTAATAAGCCCGCAGGGCACCTTGAGGCGAGGTGACGGGCATTAGCGATCCCGCGGGCTACCATCATCCCGAGTGCTCCAGGGAGAAGTCACCGTTCCTTCTTCTCCGGCTTGCCTTAATTGGCTGGCTGGAGTGAACGATGACAAGGAACAGGTCTCCCACCTCTGGCTTGCCTTCATTGGCCGTCCAGAGTGGAGTCGCGAGAGCAGTGATCCTGCTCGGAGGGTAAGAAACTATTCGTAAGTCGCGAGTGGGCCAGGGATGCAGGAAGCTTCGGCTGGAGCAGATGATCTGAGTAGAAAGCGGTGGTAGTTTCTTAACCCTTCAGCCACTCACATTCTCGTTGCCCCTCTGTTGCTATATCTAGCAGCCATTCCCGGGGCCCGGTCGGTGAGTTGGCGAGTCTCCGCCTGCCATTTTTACGTGTAATAATTACATTGTATCGGCAGGTGCCATAGTCATCCATAGTTCCCAATTTTCCAGTCCACAGCAACCCATCCATAGCCCTATCTTTTTTTTCCATTATCCTCAATAGTTTTACACTAACCGGAGACTGTCCTTGGGTGCATTTCCATAGTGCATACAGGGATAGTCGCCGGTTTGTGTGTCCATTACATTTATATTAAAGTTGTCTAAAGGGCCTCTGCGCAGTTGGCTTCGGCCCCTCGCATGCCTCCCAAATGACCGGGACCCTGTGGTCCCGTGAATGGTAAAGTTAATAATAAGTGATTCTTAAAAAGCTAATATACTATGTATCGTACTTAATAATAAGTGATTCTTAAAAAGTTAATATACTATGTATCTTAAAAAATAAATAGTATGTTTGAATAGTAATTATAGTAGTGGAGAGTAAGTACAAAGTTCCTAAGTTATATTTTGGAAGACTGTTGTTTTATTTTAGACTAGTGTTGATTTAAGAGAAACCTGTTTTAATTTGTTACAAAAATAATTATTTTATGTTATTTTTTTCCAATTTAAGAATGTTTTTATAATTAGTTTAAGTCAGAACAATACTTTTGTGTGGAGTCATTACTTGATTTATGAAACTAAGTCATGAATAAATGAAAGACTGTGTTGATTTTTCTATGCCAGTATTATTTTGAAAAGTTGTCTTTTTTTTACTAAACCTCTAGTAAGTTAGAACAATACTCACTGTGTTGTATGATACCTATTTTTGATACAATTTTTAATTATTATTTCATATTTCTTGTTTATATATTATTATTAAGTCTATTTTACCTCAGAAGTGACTCAATATCACTTAACAATTTTTCATTGTTTTCATTTTGTCCTTTTGTGTAAGACTGCAAACCTTTTTTAGAGAAAAAGTGTCATTTTTTGAAAAAGGATTGATATTTTTTAGTACTGCTCAAAATAATATAGACCCTTGACCAAAAAAGTCATCAGGAATTACAATACTTTCAATTCTAAAGTGACCTATTTTTTTAAAAATGTTATTCTATATTATAAATATAAAATATAAAAAAAAATAATAATGTATATTTATGGTAATGAAGTCCAATAATGATACAAAAACGATTTTTTTAACTTATGTTGTCATAATATTAATTTATTGGCGAATAAATGGAATATCGTGAATGTGTCCGACACATTTTTATCTATTTCCAAAAATCGTAAATTTTGAAATCGGTCACTTTCGTTCTCAGCGTGCGATATATAAAAGAAAGTCATGTTAGTTACACTATTTATAACTCAAGAACACCTCAATGGATTTAGATGAAAATTGGCAGGGAGGTAGCTTAGAGAACCAGGAGACGGACATAGGATACTTTTTATAGAATACTTTTTTTTTTACTTTTTACCGAAAATCACGAACAGGAATGGGGGGAAAATGGGATTGCGCGTATGAAGTCTCAGGCAGAAGCTAGTTTATTATATCTGAGCTGTGTTTACTGCAAGAAAACTATTCAAGTCCTATAGTGCATCCAATGAGATATATATCTCATAGTGCTCAACATGCAGTCTCAAATATATTTTAGTAGAGGAACACCATTAACTCGTTGAGTACCGTCATTATAGACACAATTAAAGAACAATAGGTTGCGGTCACCGGTGACCGCTTGGTGTTTGACAGTTTAAGATCATTTAACTTATAAAGATAAAAATATTGAATTTTTAAAGCAATTTCTGCACAAGCGCTTTTCTTTGGTGTACTTACCTATAATAATTTAAAACTTTAGTAGGTATATTTTTTTAAATACTTTTACTTATTTTTGTAATTAATATTTTCAAGTGCACATAAAGAAATTAATTTTTCTCAGCTCCTAAATGGACTGTGCCTGGTGGGCCCCGTCAGACGTGGTGCAGGTGGTGACGTAGAAGGACTTGTAGCTGCCATTGAGGCACTAGCAGAACCATCACCTGAACAGGCCAATAGACCTTCTGAAAGACATTTTCAAAACCGGTTAGTGATACTGCTGTATAGATTTTACTCAGATCTCCTAATGTTTGTAATGACTATTGTTGGCCAATGTTTAATGACTCTATTATTCCAATATTCATTACTAATATAACTGTGTAAAAATCATTCTCATCATTCAACATTATTTACATATAAAATAAAAATATTGGGTTATTTCTATAAAATACAGAACTAAAATTTTTATTACTGCGAAATAATGCTGTTATTCTATTTTAACTCAATGATTGATTTTTGCCATTCTCTTTATATATTTTCAGTGGACGCGTAATTTGTATAACAAGTGCCAGAGACAATGATTCTATTAAGAACTTAAAGGAGATTGCTCACAACACTATTGTGCAAATTAATAAAAAGGCTTCTATGGTCCAGCCAGACAGTACTTCTGATACTGCTCGCACACCTCAGTAAGTGATCAAAATTATTACTATATTATTGTTAAGACCGACGAGCATGCATGAAAAGATTGATTACTGTTGATGAAGCGAAAGAGGTATGTAGGAAATCATAGTAATTGGTGTTCCCTAGTCTCTGTCTACCTCCATGGGAGACAGGTGTGAAGTTATGTATGTATGTATGTATGTAATTATTAAGATTCCAGCTTACTCACATAATTATTTGACAAGGAACTCGACACTAGTTCCATAAATAATTATGTGAGTAAGCTGAAAACATAATTAATTTAGAATCTATCACAAAAGTTTTAAAAATACTTACTACACAAATATGGTTTTCCAAATACACAATTGTATTATAACATAACATTTTATAGCCTTTGCCTTCAACTCCTAGAGGGACAGAGGTGCACATTTTAATTGTAACTATTTTTACCAGATATTAGCCCCATGTTCGGTCATGAGCCATGGCACTTTATCCAACCTGTGAACTCTAAAACCTTTACTATGTCCCCTTGCGGCTGCTTGACTAAATTAGGCTATAAGTCATCACACACCTAATAAGCACGGCTCCAGTCGGCGTCACGCTTACAGCTTTTTTGTATTAGGTCTATATTTATGTTCCAGGCCCCTAATAATACATTATTGCCATATAGTGATAATAAATGTCACACCAGAAAATGCAGAAACTAGAGTCACCAATCAACCTTTAGCAGAGGTAAGATTTTGCATGTATTTTTCTGAAAAAGAGCAAGAAATCAGTGCATTAATTTTTAAAACTTGTAATGAACTTGTGACTTGTATTGTCACTTGCAATTTGATTGCTTCTATGGGCACTTACAATAGCATAGTTGCCTCATTTTTATTTTAATATCTGTCTGGTACACAATAATTTAAAACTTTAGACACGTATTTTTTCTTTTCTCACAAAATTAAATACTTTCGACGATATAATAATTTGAAATATCGTGTGACGTCATAGCGTGTCACATTTTGTAGAATGTTATGACGTAACGACCTCCCACTCATAAACTTAGTGCCATTTTATCTAAGTATTGCAACTTAGTAGTACGAGAAAATAAAAAAAATACGTGTCTAATATTTTTTCATTATCTAACTGAGGAACTAATTAGATTTTTGATTTTGATACCCTGGACACTACCCAATTAAATAGTATGCTTGTTTGCCATCCATAACAAGTTATTTATACCTATACATAAAAAATATATTACATTAAACGGTTATAATATGTGTGGTCATTAAGATTAAGAATGTTATCAGATTGATCTATCATCTATAGATGGAGGTGAAATTCCTATAGGTACATTTGACCTAAACAAACAAATCAAGCTAATTAAAACCTTTTTTATAGCATAAGCCGGTAAACAAGCAGACGGATCATCTGATGGTAAGCAATCGGCGTCGCCCATGGACACCTGGAACACCAGAGGCATTACGAGTGCGTTACCAGTCTTTCGAGGATTAGGAGTTTGAGCATTGGTGGGGATTCAGGGATTGGGGAGATTGGGGAAGGGGAGAGGGATAATTGGGCCTTTTAAAAAAAAAAAAACAATAAATTGATGATAGACTCCATTTTATACCTTTTCAGATAGCTGGTGGACAAATCGGTGTAGAAGTCATAGTCTCACGAGCAAGTGCATTGGCCAATCTGCTTGGTCAATTGGTGTTGCCACACTACAAACTAGCTACCACCACTGTCACTGGTATTCCTATGAAGGTGAGTAAGGAACGGGGTGGTTTTTAGTTAATTCGATGATTTTCCCCTCTTAAAAAAAACCCGTGGAAGACAGATGTGAGGTTATACACACATACATAACTTCACACCTGTGTCCCATGCGTGTAGGTATAGACTATAGAACGCCAATAGCTACGATTCCTACATACTTCTTTCGCTTAATTAATCAACAGTCATTAATCTTTTCATGCATGCTCGTTGGTTAAGTGTTCTTTTAATTTGGCCCTTCTTTAATATATCGCCAATTTGGTCAGCATATGTCCGTCTAGAGAGCCCTCTACCGACGCGACGGTCCCATTCATATCTGCTCTGTATACTTCTTTCGTTACTCTACTTTTATCCATCCTTTCTACATGTCCAAACCAGCGTAACATTCCCTTTCCAATCTTGTCACTACATCATCTTTCAATCCACACCTTTATCTATTAAGGTTATGTAATAATAGAAAACCCAGTTACTTAATAGTTTCACATGAGTTTAGCAACCTAACGAACCTTTTTATATCTTTTATCTATTATAATAATGATTATTTTTGTTTACAGGAAGAACAAAATGCAAGTTCTAGTGCGAATTACGATGTGGAGATAATTCACGCGGCTGACGCTCACGCTGGGCTGCGAGCGTCACAAACTGCTGCTGAAGCTTTGGAATCGGTAAGTTTGTCTCGTGATTTTATTACATGAGAGTACAAAATCATAGAAACTATTACGCATTATGTCAAATATTTAATAGGTACTTCTTTGGCATTTGCACAACATTTACGTACATACATTTATTTACATTTTCAGTACCTATGTCCCTCATGCTTGTAATGTGTAGTCCTTTGCAATATTGTCTACTGTGTGATGTAGGTACATGAAATGATAAGTAAATAAATAAATAAAAATTGTGCCATTATCCACACTTCTTTATTACTCAACTACATACACATTATACATTTTTGAATCGTTTAACATAACAAATTTTTATCCCGGAAGGGGTAGGCGGAGGTGCACATTACGGCACTTCATGTCACTATAACTCTGAATCGTTTATTAAATTAAATTCAATGCATGCTCTTTGCACCCACTGATTACTTTCTCTGCATCGCCCAAGGGTCTGGAACTGGTAGAAAATGCCTGCGGCATTAAGTCCACCCATGTGTTTGTTTGTGTGCATAAATCTATTTAAATAAATACAAAAATATTATGGTTGGTATTATAGTTTGTATGGTAATGGTTTGTAGGTAGTACTACGGTGGTGGACGCCGCGTGGTGCCGAGGGAGGCGCGTCAGGATGTTGTGGCTCTCTGTGGCGCGTCACTCCCGCCGACGTCGCGTCACGACCTTCAGCCTGTCTCGTCAACTTCTTACTTAATGGCAGATCTGTCACTCTTGAAGTTCCGAAGTAAGACTAACACCTGACTACTGAAGTTTAAATTGTACTTAATATCGTGCCATCCATATTCTGTCTCCTGCAGTAATTCACCGAGGGAAGTGGAAACTATAGTTTTTTCTTCTTCTCCTCTTATAATATCTTCTGATTCACTTCGTTGCGGGAACCAAGACAGTTACTCATGTCCCTGGGACGCGCTGGACTTCAATGTTCCGGTGTTTTCATGGTTGTATCTACTGTAGATCCTGGCTTACAGGAGTTGCAGCTGTTTCGGGAGGTTGTGGCGGGCTTGTCCCATTAAAAAAAATATCGTGTCATCTTTGTTATTTTTATAAAGAATTTGTAGTGACAGAACTATGTTTAGGCACGATTTAAAATTTAGTAGTGTTTCAGTATTCTGGCATTGTACAGTCAGCACAATTACAATATGCAGTTAAGTAAATTAAGATTGACTCCAACCAAACCATATCTTCTGTATACATTAGTCGGTTCAGTGTCCTATCAATGATTACTGTCTCTGTACTGAATCAATCTTAATTTTCTTACCTGGAGCTGTAGCCAAATGCCATTCAGCGCTTGTCTACATGTAGAATAGAAAACCAAATTATATGGAATTGAATTTTGACACTTCTACGTCAGTGTCATGCCCATACATTTAGTTTTCTACTCTCTCTGTAGACAAGCGCTAAGTCGCGGAGAACCTAACGGGTAACCGGGGCTCCGGCTCGACGTGCAGGAGAAGGAACGGGGTGGTTTTTAGTCAGTAAGAGTCTGACACTCCCTCTCGCCTCACCCAGGTGGGAGCAGTAACGCGACGATTTTCCCCCTTAAAAAAAAAAAGACAAGCGCTAAAGTGGCGTTTGGCTAAAGGCCCTGCATACTAAATAGCCGCGTTGACGGACATCTCATGTTTTATTTCGCAATCTACCTAGTATGCAAAAGTGCACATAAGTTTAATTAACCCATCAAGAAAAACGTCATCAAGTATAAAAAAACCTTTTTCCTTCTAAGTATTAAGTCCAAGGGGCTTACTCTTGAATCCAATTCCGATCCATCTACGTTGTTATTGTGAAATTTCGTATTCTTGAGTTGCAACACTAGCGCCCATTGCATCCATATTGCGTGAATATTGCATGAACTCAATACCATTTAGGTATTGAGTTTCGCTTTATATTCCGTACTCTGAATGCTATTTTAACAGCTACGATAGGTGTATAGTTTTGACATTAAATAATTATTGAGATTTTATTGGATTGAAATTGCATTGACATTGAGATTGATTTCAAGAGTAGTTAAGCAACCAGGTTTTGGAAAAAAGATTTTTGTCCTGAAGTTGCGATCAGCTCCGGTCCGAGAACCGAACAGCACCATCCACCAAAATATTGACATTTGACACAAAATTAGAAATTTGGAACAAGGATAGATCATGGTCTGGAAAACACATAGGCTACTTTTATCACATGAAAACGTGGTCGAAACCGCTTGCAGCAACTAATCCTCACTTATCCTTACTTCCTTACTTATCTTATAAATCGGAAAGTGAGTTTGTTTGTTTGTTCCGCTTTCACGCCGTAACTACTAAACCGATTGCTTTGAATTTTTGCAGACTTAAAGTTAGAAATCCGGATTAAATAATAGGATACTTTTTAACCCGGAAAAATTTGATATTTCCGAGGTGAAACAAAAGTATTGGTATATATGGCGCTGTGTGTATTGGTATATGTCACATAGGCTACTTTTTATCCTTTTGTGATGCGAGCGAAACTGCGGGTAAAAGCTAGTTATTAAATAAATGGTCGACTTTCTTCTACAGGAAAGGCGGTGGTAGGTCAGCTTCGCACGTACTGGCAGCGCAAGGTGGAGAGTTGTGGATAGGAGCACTGGGGGGCCGGACGCCATACGATGACCCGCCTGCGTTGTCCGAGGGAGCTGGGGGACGGGTCACTGATTACAGGTAATTAGTAAGCTGTCTTATTAACCCTACCTGCTTTTGGTATGAACTTTTGTTTTAACATTTTCGACTGCACGGTTGGCGCGGTGGCTGGGCAACTGACTGCTGGGCAACTGACTGCCGCGCAACGTGTCCCGGGTTCGATTCCCGCACGGAACAACTCTTTGTGTGATCCACATATTATTGCCACAGCCTTCATCAGATATTTAACGAAGGTTTCGCATTTTCAGTTATGTTTAAGGGTCAAATAGCTATGGTATAACTTGAATATAATAATATCACCATCTTGTAATAAATAATTACAGAATCAAAGAATTTGGTGCACTAATGCAACAAAACAGACTGTATCCACTTCGAGGCGCCGGCGCAAACGCGCGGGCGAGGGCGCGCCTACAACGACATACTACGTACTGGCCGCTCACTATATCTTCTACACTTATATTTAATTTAGGATCGGTAAGTTTTCAATATATTAATAATCTTGTCCTTATGGCCTTTGAGATAACGACGATGATGTCGACGTTTTCAATATGCATAATAATAACATAACATAACATCACGCCTTTTATCCCCGAAGGGGTAGGCAGAGGTGCACATTACGGCACTTAATGCCAATTTGCTGTAGAATGTAACACCCACTTTTCACTTTATGTTATGAGTCCCATGTAATAGGGGGTGAGCCTATTGCCATATACCGGGCACATTTCCAACCTCCGTGCTACTACTGAGATTTTTAAAAACCCAGTAATACTTTGCCCGACCCGGGAATCGAACCCGAGACCTCTTGCCCAGCAGTCGCACTTGCGCCCACTCGGCCAACAAGGCAGTATGCATAATAATAAATAATAACATAAAGATTCAGCAGGAACATACACATATACGGTTATAATAATATTGTACAAAAGAACACCTAAAGAAAACTAAAATCTTCTTGAACCCAAACCTTTAATAATTTTGCGCGCTAAACTCTACGGAGTTCAGCCCTTCCCCTTTTCCAAAAATGGGTAAGTTGAATGATTGACTTTTCTTGACTTAAGAATAATTAATTTTTTATCAGCATCGGGTTTGCTAGAAACACACATATATGGTTTACTAGCTTTTACCCGCGGCTTCGCTCGCGTCACAAAATGTTAAAAAGTAGCCTATGTGACATATACATTGGTATACACACATATTGGTACACACAGCGCCATCTATACCAATAATTTCATTTACCCTCGAGAATTTCAAATTTTTCCTGGATAAAAAGTACCCTATTATTTAATCCAGACTTCTAACTTCACGTCTGCAAAAATTCAAAGCAATCGGTTTAGTAGTTACGGCGTGAAAGTGGAACAAACAAACAAACTCACTTTCCGATTTGTAATATTAGTAAGGATTTTGGTTCTAGTCACAATCTTAAGGTTTCTACATCGCTACAAGAACCCTAGTGCCTGAAAATTGAAACATCACTCAATTTTAAGTCGTGCTTAACTTCTGTCATAACATATTCTTTGTAGAATGACAGAAATGACACGATATTTAAATACAACTTAAGTAGCCTAAGGGCCTATTTCACAATATCTGGATAGCCGTTATCTGCCAGATAAATTTAAATTAAGAACGTAATTTGTATGAACTATCTATCACATAAGTTTATCAGGTACTTATATAGAGATGGTGAAACCGGCGCTTAAAGTATTAGGGTGTAAGTAACTTATGTTTTAAAATCTTCTCAGGTATTGGAACCACTAACCCGACTAGTAGTACAAGAAACGTTGACTGATGAAGAAGTTGAGACATGTCGCAATGTACTCCTCTCCTTATTGGCCATGGAGTCGCGGCATGAGTTCCCGACCAATCAGCTTCCATCTAACATGAGGTATGTGACTTAACAGAACTGTGCTTAGTTTAGACTCCAGATCTAATAAGTCTTTAGTCCAAGTGAAAAAGAAATAAGTCCAAAAATGCAACTTTACAGACAACTTGAGACAAATTCGTTTGCCTTCATGTGGCATTTAAACTGCTACTGAACTCTTTAAACTCCATTGGGGTCATCAGTCACCGCCCGACGTTAGCGGATGATTTGCATTCAACACTTCTATTGGCAATCAAAGCCTTAATAAAGCACATGTGATGTTTTTATAGGTATTATATGTATAGCTTGAATGATGAAGCATTTTTTCTGATATTTTTGATATTCTTAATTCATTTTTGACAAAATTGGACTTAACTAGGGCCATAGAAATTACTGCGTCAATCTTGATGTCAACTACTGAGACTTTAAATATCCTACAGGCAATGTAATTGGAGATAAATAAGGTTTTATTATCTATTTTTATAGAAGTAAATCAGTGGGTCGTCGCGAGGAACAATGGCGACAGGTGTGGGGAGAACTCGAGGCATTAGTCAGGGCGCACGCCGCCGCGCCGCAACACCGCGCGCTACTGCGGGTACTGCTCGACTGCCGCGCTCATAACAACCACCAGACTGACAGTATGCATCTATCTATTATTGTTTATTATTATACATAACTTTATTTTTTAATCACAGTGTAAGAATGTTGAGGACGCCCATTTCTCATGCATGAGGGTACGGGTTCGAAACCTACCAACGGCAAGTACCAATGTGACTTTTTCCGAGTTATATGTACATTCTAAGATTATCTAGACACTACTGACGTTGAAGGAAAACATCGTGAGGAAACTTGGGCTTATAATTTCTAATTATAATTGTGTTTGTAATTGCCAACCCGCATTGAGCAAGCGTGGTGACTAATGTTCAAACCTTCTTCGTGTGAGAAGAGGCTTTGCTCAGCAGTGAGCATTTAAAGGCTGTTGATGAAGAAATATCGGTATGAAGCCCCTTCATCTGGGATAAATGGGACTGTCAAGCTCATAATTTTACTCGTATATTGTCCACATGGAGGTCGGTAATCCAAATTCTTTCGCTACTTCCTTTTTTGCTAAAAACGTGATGTGAATAAATCGGTTTTAAACGTAAGGAATATCGGTTAACGTTTCATTGTTGCCCGTTTTGGTTATCCCATTGGCAATTTTGCTTCTAATTTCGGAGTAACTGCAAAAAGTCTAAACTACGTCTTTTATCCAACGTATCATATTTGAACAAGAATTTTTGTTGTTTTCCTACAGTAAAATTAAACACGGCGAAGAAACCCGAATCGTTAGAAATAGTTTTCATGCAAAAAAGTAGAATGGATCAATGAATCATTAGGCAAAAGTATAAGCTGGCGTCGAGCCTAATCATTAAAACTCTTCTGACCCCAATCCACTTGGAAAAAACCCAAGGAGAAAGTATTACACGAAGTAGATACGACCTCCTAATACATCAATAGTACCAATACTAAAAAATAACTATGTTACTTACGTAAATTTTAACTATTCTCCTGAATTGCCATTGTACAAGCACAATGCAATAAAATTGATCAAGGGCGCCATTTTAAAATGTAACTACTGTTTCCAAGTCGCACTAATTAGCATGAAAAGGTCAATAGTGTTGAACTGTAAGCGGTAACACATCAATGGCTTCAATTTTGTATACTTATATTAGCATAAGCCGTGTGGTGACCGTAGAATAGAATTCATTTACCATCACCCTACTATTCCCGCGGGTGTATGTCGTTTAAATATATTTTCATACACAAAGCAATGTCATTAAGGGTGAACCTTATCCTTTATGTTCTTCTAACAGTTAGTATGTCTTTTTTTCTCTTTATGTTTCTTTTGTTTTTATACAGAATAATGATTCGACATTTAAATTTGAATACAGTAGACAGTTGTTGTGTGTAGTTAGTATAGCTTTGTATGTAAAATATTTGGAGTGTTTTGCAGCAGTTCTGTGTTTAAAGAAAAACTTAGCTTAGGAGATTATTTTACTGCTAGTTATAATTTTACTGTAAGCTGCAAAACACTCTGATAATTCTAATCATAAGAAATCAAAGAAGAACATTGAACCCCAAATTTTGCATGAATGAATCGCTAATGTCCAAACAACAACTACGTAGCCCAATCTTTTATACATCTTTATAGTGGATAGACATTATACTAAAGTCATTTGTTACAGGCGAATCTCGTGCCACAGTGATTCGCGCGACTACAGACTCGCCTCTGTCCCCGGGGGCGACCGGCAACGGCAGTTCTGCCAACGGCACACCCGGCAACGGCAACGACGTGTGGGCGCCCCGCAATGTACTCGACGCGTTACTCGGCGCGCCCCGCCCCGCACGCCGACCAGACTTCGCCGGACGCATGGCCGCCGGCACTCGAATCGCGACCTTGTACCCCCAGTTACAACAAGACGTTGAAACGCCTCATTAATCTTTACACTACAAGCTAATCGATATCTAGTACCCGTAGGCCCAATTGTAAATTCAATGAGATTATAAAGTCTCATTCGAGTATTTTGAGTCTATCGAATGAGTAAATGGAAGTCGATAGAACTCAGGATGTGGTCGCCTGATTAACATTATGTGGTTCAGCTACACCGACCTCCGCTTGCGGTTGCAGCGGCCATTTGTGACTCGTGTATTATTATGGTGTTGCAAGAACTACTCGGTTGTGTTGAAAGTGACTATGTAGTAGAATGTCAAGATATTTTTCCTTCAATTTTATTTCAAGTATCCATTTTTGTATGTATTATAATAGTAGACAATAAGACTTAAAGTAAGAACATGTGAATAAATATAATATTTTGGAATTAGGGAGTTTGGTTTATTGTTGGTTGAAATGAAAAATGCGACATTATAAAATTAATATCTTATATTTGTTCAATAAAAACTACATGTGGGCCCGTGTGCCCGGCGCCCGGGTAACACGACCTTTGTATTATCTTGTTGCATATAAACTCTGCGGGCAGACTGTGTCATAAGGCAATGGTGTGAATGGCGGCCTCGCGGCCTCGTCAAGGCATCTGGTCCGGATCTCTCCGCGGCGACGGCCCTGCGCCCTCGCCGCCGAAACTTTACAATTATTGGAATGTCACGCTGGATGCGAACGTTCGAACGTTAAAAATTATTACAAACGAAACCTAACGCTAGGCCCCCTCGTGGGCCACTCCGAAGATACACTCACATCGAAATATTGTACAATCTCATACTCTCGAACGCGCCCGACCGCTCGGTGCGCGCCCCAAATATCGATACCCTATAAAACTTACAAAATCGACCGGTACTTAAACTTAATGCTAAGTTAAAATTAATCGGAATTGAAAAATAAATTACCTAGGTACAATATTTTAGTCTAGAAAGCTATTTATAGGCGCACGAGGGTCGCTTGGTGGGAGTGCGCGGATGTCAGTGTGTAGCTTTTCGAAGTTTCTTAGCGATAGGTAACGCGGCCGCGTCTGATGAGTCACCCAGTGAGTTCTCTTCTGAGCTCGCTTCCTCCATTTGCCTGCAGCAAACAAACGGAACAAATGAATACCTATTCGATACGAGTTATCGTGGAAATGGTGAAACAACTGTGTGCACAAAAACCGATAGGACGGCTGGTTGTTGGAACAATGCAATGTAATTACAGAGTGTGTAAAGTATAGTTACCGTTTGGCACGCGGCGTGCTGAAGGCGGAGTCGGAGTTGTCGGAGGGGGACGCGGGGGTGGCGGGGGTCGCGGGAGACGCAGCTTTCGCATCCATCGAGTCCTCTGTGCATGACGTCGTCGTGTCCTCATTCACTGAGTCTGCACCTAATTTTCCTGTAACAACGAAACCACTCTTGATATCATGATCATTTCTACCCAAACGGAAATTACGAGCGTGTGATTACGGCTCATTTCCCTAACGTGTTCAAATAGTCGTTAAGAAGTAAGCCGAATGCGTCGCAAATTCTGTACCTAACGATTGTGCGGGCACAATTACTTGTAAGTTAACTGGGTACTTAGTTATCTACAACATCACAATTACACTGCAGTACATATTTTCGTCTCGTTTGCTCACTGGATTGTGGGTAGCAAACTGGCAATAACATAAAACGTGATCATTATACCTCGTAGTCGTTCGGTCCCGCATTCAGTTATCATAGACATCGTTAGCTAAAACATGCGGGATATCGCATAATGTGAATACGCCCTTATGTACCGACTGATGCCTACGCGTTTTGTTAACATCAGCACGATAGACGTCTTCATTTATCAGCTTTAGAAAATCGTGAGGTGTATTTGTAAACACCATAATAAAACACCCCCATAAATTATAAACAAAGAGACTTGTTTGTCTTCCTAAGTTCTCACATATTTGCTTCTAAATAAGGTCAGACTTTAGTAGGATTTGAAACATAATACGCGTTCGAATTTTATTGCGATCACGTTTTATGGCTACACTATAATTTACACTAAAGATACGTTCAGGCTCTTGTTCTGTTTGTAATAGAACATAATCCTTGCGTTTATAGAAGGTTGGGTTACCATATCCGTCCACCACAATAAAACGAATTGTCCAAAAAATAATGAGTAAAAGAGAAACGTCCGAAATTTTCGTACTAAAAAACGTAGTTGATTAATCAAAAATAACGGGCTTGGAAATGAGAGCAGGCGTTCTCTGATTTCGAGCGACCGTGCAGCATTTCAAGTTGTCTCGATTAAGCACAAGACAAGTGAATTACTGGATTATATAAATAAAAACTTCTAGTCCAATATTTGCTATATTTCCACGTGTTTAAGATATGGATGGAAGGTGAACGACACAAACTATTTACCTACTTAGAAAACACATGCATTATGGATCTGTTGTCAAATTCATGCCAATAGCATATTTTAGTTATCTACAATATGGGTTACGAAACAAGTTTTATTAAATATTTTTTATTCATTTGCATTGTTCTTGTTAGTACAGTTTTTGTTTGCAAAATATTTTACTTAGACTAAGGATAATTTTCCTTCATTATAAATCTTTTAGGAACCTATGTGATTATTAGCTAACCCGGAAAACTTTTTACCGCCTACAATTTTTTTTTTCTCAGCTTTTAAACCTTCCCTGGACTTCCACAAATATTTCAAGACCAAAATTAGCCAAATCGGTTCAGTCGTTCTCGAGTTTTAGCGAGACTAACGAACGGAAATTCATTTTTATTTATATAGATTCTTTTTATTTTTATAGATTTTATAAATTCTTTTTCAATGACAAACTATGTTATTTTAATATTAGGAACATGAGTGTATCATGAACAGGTTGATAAATTAATAACGACTTGTGTAATTAACTTTTGTCAACCAAAATGAGTAACTGAATTAGAATTTTCTTATTGAACACGCTTTCATTTACCGTAAATAGTCCACGTTTGTGGGCAATTTCAAGGTAACATTCGTGATTGAATTATTTCTTAAATTGGTGTGGTTGACCACAAGGAGTTTCTGCACAAGTAACTTGGTATAGACATATGTACTGACATAGTATTAAATTTAAGTAAATGTCGACTAAATCCCTTAGAAAAAGTAACTTAACTCAACCTAATGTTGCTCCCAAATTGCCATTAGAATAAACATTATATCAGTATTCTTAAATCATTAAATGCTGGTGTTATTCATTCATAGACTAACCAAATCAAGTATATACCTACATATTTTAATTTTAAAATTGAATAATTTATGTTATGCACCTATCTAACGCTGGTAAACATTTTTATTAAACAACAGTCCAGTAGCAAGATTATTAAAATCCTTTAATTTTGTCATTTTTTTACCTAAAAGAACTAATAGATTTTGTTTAGTGTTAGTTTTGTATTTTAACTCGTTGTTTGCCGAAACGTGGATCCATGACACAAGAGACACAGTATACAGTGTATTGTCTATTGTGTATCATATACCACGTGGTATTTATATTATTTGAATTTAATACTCACCATTGCCATTGGTGGAAGGTGGTTCGAGATTGCTCTCATCACTGGGTAGGGGTGAGCCCCCATTGGCTGGCGCTACTGTCCTGCGTTCCTTGCCAAGCAGTTCCGGCTGCAAATCTGATATCACGTGGTGTGTCCATAACGCCAGCTCTACCATGTGTGGAGAAAACTTGTTGCCACAGCCGTTTTGTTCCTGAAAAAAAATCATGTGTTAGAAAAACAATGAGAAATATTTCCAAATTATAAGGATTAAAAAGGAATGTTTACCAAAGCTGCCCCAGTAACTAAGTACTTTATTGTTATGGTTTTATTTATGTTGTATCAAAAGGAAGGAATTAAATTTATTTATCAATTTAAGATTAATTAGTGTGGATTTCAATGCAGCTATTGCCGGTATGCCAGTTTCCTGTTTTTATCGTCATAGTTAATTATTATTTGAACAATTCCATGTGTGTTTAATTAAAGTTCCACTTGACAAATTAATTCTCATACGCGAGGTGAATAGTAAAAAGTGCCTTTTTGTGTAGGTGCTTAAAAATCATGTAGCGTGTAAAACAAAAGCCATTAGACTCTACTGCCAAAACATTACAAAAGGGCACTTAGGCCTTTTGCCAAATAAAGAGACGCTTCGTATGTTACATTGTATGTTACTGTATAGAGAATTCAATGTACTAACCTTATTTAACCTATCACAGACTTTCCTAATATGGGTTACAAAATTGAGGTATTCCTTGGCAGTGTAGTCGCTACCCTCCATCTCCGGGATCGCCTGCACACATTCATCAGCCATGAAGGGAGCTATATCTGGGCTGGCCGCTGCCAGCACTGCTGAAGCCGTGGCCGTGCCCACTCCTTTCAAATTACTTAACGCCGCCATCGCCGACTCTATGTTCGGCAACTTTCGGAAGGCTTTCTTCGTCTCCGCCATCACAGCCCTCGGCGTGTTCACTTTTATCAAATATGATAATTGTGGATAAAATTTTCCTCTCTGTAACACAAGATGAAAAAATTCAAGCCATTGTTCAATTTCAATAGGTCGTTTGTACTTGCAAGTGTTCAATATGTTTATAAATCTCTTGTAAATATTTGGTTGTAGTTTATAAGTAAATCTTGCGATTGATTGACATACGTGACATTTGTATTGGTCGTAAAACAATCGTGCTAAAACTAAACTAAGTACTTTACACAAATGATTACGGATATTTGGGTATTTGAAATTCTAAGCTGGTATTTGCAATGTAATTGCCGATGCAAATTACGTTGGCTGAACAAATTGTTGAGCCAAGTTTAAGTGATCGTTAAGGAAGATCCTGTTTTTATTTCTTAACACGAATTGAACGTGTAAGTCAATTTCAAATTAATATTTTACACTCAATTCATTTCCCAGCGCTGGGCTGACACAAAAACTAATAGTTTATCAATAAAACGATGGTTATGAAACGGGTTTCGCTGGATGTTAGTATAATAAACTCGTACTGACCGCTTGTTTCCATTTCATGAGTTGTACAAGCTCCTCGTGTATCATGTGCGCGTCCTTGCCTCTGGATTTAATCTTCTTTGGCAGTTCATTCTGGTACCTGCAAACACGAAGAAATTATTATAGATATTTTCATCCTCATGGTAAATTATCTGCGGATTAGATCGCCCAAGGGCTTACGAGTCTAGAGTTATTGAAACGGAGAAATCGAACGCGACATAAATTTATTTTGAAATTCAACCCTTCCCGAGGGTTGTAATGAAAACATTAATAACAATCTTGTGTGGAAATGAGAGCTATACTTTAACATTCCGCTACAATTTGTTATTCAAAGTACATAAAGTAGATGCTAATTACTAGAAACGGTCCGTTTTATTGCTGTGTTCGTTTAGCACATGTTCTTCAACAGCCATATGGTAGAACGCTTGTTAAAATGTACGGTCAAGAATGGCGACACTTATTGTGTTCAATGTAAAATTCAATACTAAACTGTATTATCAACAAAATAAAATTAATTATACAATGACATTGATCTTACACTACTTATCAAAAATCTTTATAGGGGATAATTTAAGTTAGTGTGTAGGAAATACGGCAAATAATTAATTTCATTTTAAATTAATAGGCGATTCCCTGTTTAATTGCTTATATTTGTTATCTGTTTTTCCAGAGCGTTCTTGGTTTAGTCAGGAATAATTTAATTAAAATGGTGATTAATGTGTTTTTAATGCTTAAAAGATTATTAATTAATATTTCTAGAAAGTTTCATTAAAAATTTTAGGAATAACTAAAGGAGTTGCTTAATTGTGTTATTTTCGTGGGAATTATTTAGGTAATATTAAAAATGTAAAAATTACTTCCGAAATTCTTAGTACATATTCACTATCACTAACATTGCTCTGTAATTATGACTGCAAAATTGTTTTCATAATAAAATAATTTTCATAGTCTATAAGGTGAGTAAAACGTGTTAATTCTTGACTCATTATTAAAACATTGTATAAATAATAATTTTATAATTAATTATTTAAAACTTTCACAAAATTGAAAATAATTCAATACAAGAAGTATTCTCCTCAATACAAGTTGTGAGAAAATTTTAAACTTTACGCTCTGGTAAAAGTTTAGTAAGTACTAAAGTACACGATGACTCATTGTGCCTGTTTAACTAATACAATAATATTAAAGATAGGTGTATTAAAATACCACGCATATATCAGATAACTTAGTTATCATATCGAAATTTACAAACAAACGCCAAACAAGTCGAAAAACTAATAATAAAACTTAACTTTAAAAGGCAAGTCACCATTTTGAACGGATGTGAATTGTGAGTTGTACTCAACAACGCATTGTATTATCTAGCAAAGTACCTTGTGAAACATGCAACAACATATCTTACACATTATCAAGGCTGTTATTTAGTTAAGGAATCTGTAGAATTAGCAAGCGGACGACCCTAAACATAAACTTTAGTGCATTAAAACGAGTCATGATACGTAAAGGACAGCCACCATTTTATAACGCCTAAGCGCGCCGATATTTTCCCCCACACTGGCTTCAGGAAAAACGATCGTGTCAATTTGACATCGATCCCACGTGACGCAGTGGTTTTAATGAGCCGTCCGCGGACTAGAGATGCAGTCCGCGAGGGAGGTAGCTATCAAATCAGTTTGCACGGATACACACACAATACAAGTTCATTGACACGCCACGGCCGCATTTTCTCCTTTCAAAGGCGTTTGTACTTACCAATTGTCCAATTTTATGAGCTCATCGGGTTTCTTTGTTTTCAATTCAGCTTTTAGTTTAATCGCTTGAGGGTAAAACTTTAAAACACTGTCAAAATCTTTTGCATCTGCCTCCAGAAAGAAAGTAGACGTGTCTTTCGCGGTAGCCATTGTGAACGTTCTAAATGTACAACACTGCGTATTTAGTTTAGCTATAGCGCCGAACTCGACGCGGCGGCAGCACCTGGCCAACTGGGCGCCCTCTCCCCACTCGCCGCCATCTTGTACAGCGAACCTCGTAATGACGTTCGATATTATTATTCGAAATATGCTTAATTCGTCTGCATTTACTCTTATAAGACTATTATTTTGCATAATACTGTACCAAAATTGAATCAATATTCCAATTTACTTAGACATTTGTGGTATTTAACCAGATTGAGTACGATAGTAACAAAAAATATACTTACTCGACAGCACAAGGTTATGTCGGTCGCGCGGCGTGTCGAACGTCGGACATTTGTCTGGCCTCCACCCACAGGGAGAAACGGGATGAGAAAAAATAAATTCCATTTTAATGTTAAATCACAGCACCACACTCCAATATCAAATTGAATTTTGAAAAACTGAACACAAAATGAGCACAATCACGATAATGTTAGTCACGTCGGCCTCGGCGCACTATCAATTTCCTTAAACGTGACGCAACACACGACACCGTTCTACCGAAACGACTTTGGTAAACACGCATATTTTCCGTTGCATTGCAGTACACACTGAGCTCGGAGTAGTCATGAAGTAGTAACTAGCGGTGTACATAAGGCATTTAGGTAGTAGGACGTACATATCACCGGGGTGGAACGTCACACCAATCGGCTTTGTTGTTTCGAAAGATAGATCGCCATGTGCTCTGATCCCTCTTTAATTTAGGTGTGTTATTGTTTATTTAATAGCTCGTAGTAAAGTTGCGCTTTTATTTATTTCATTGATTAGATGCGTAGCGTTTTGACTGAATGTATTCGTCAGTTTTCGGCATTAGAATTCGTATTTTCTTTCTAAGCCTTAGAAGGGATATTTTCGGGAACTTTTATGATTCATTTAAGTAGCCAATTCCTCACTTAATATTACCTACTTATCTACACTATCCCATCATTTCCAACACCCAGATGAATGGGAAAATCTGATACTAATTTACTAATTTCTATTAAATTTTCCAATTTTCACATTAGCTTTGAAAAGCCTAATTTCTCCTGTTAATCTAGTGTAACTCGATGCTCACTAATGTAATTTAAGTCTAGGTGTCTATAATCTTTTAATACCAAATCGATTACCTTATAGACCGATTGTGCAAATATACACGTGTTAGCAACCTGTCCTATTTTTATTTGCAATGCGTTTTGTACGCTGTTCAAACCAAATCTAAAGTTCGCATAGTCAACTACAACTAACAACAACAACTACAACTAAACTAAAATCGAAAAATTACAAGTATTGTGTACCTATTTTGCATGTAAACATATACATAATTCAATAACTTAATAGTCTAATTGAATCTGAAATTATAACAACGCTAAGTTAGAGAAATTCCAAAAATATTTATGTCTGAAAAGGCGACCAGAATATCCAGCTTACTTTCTATAGTACCTACCTAACATCAATTACCTAATAATTATTATCCTAATAGGTAGGTAGGTAATGAGTCTGAACGTTATTATTCTCGAATCCCTACCACAAATCCAGGAACTTAACATCGTAATACCTAATCCAAATTCCTTAAAATCTTTTGAACGCAGTATATAGTTGAACAGTAATACAAATATATTTTGTCTCACGTTTTATTTGTCCTTTTCTCAACATTTTGACACAGTATCGAGATGATTCATGTCCTAGTTCCTTTCAAAGACATTGAGATATTAAAGAAAGAAAGAAAAAACCCGGTTGTAATGTTTTCGTAATGTTAACAGATCCCTTGATCTACTTTCATGCTAAGCATTTAACTTTTACCTCCGTCTAATGTAGGTATCTTTTGGTTCATCGAATATGAAGTCTATGTATTTAATACATAAGTATTATTTCAATTCACTTATTAGTTACAATTTATTCTTGGGACATGGATGATTTTATTGACCAGTCATTCTCATAGGCGGGAAATTATTTTCTTAAAATCTAACAAACTGCGTGACCTAGTTTAGACCAAATGCTTACGGTTTTGGTCTCTGTACATGGTTGTATGTACTTAGGACATTCCAGGACAGCTATGAATGGATTTTCTAACAAACGAGAAGAACTATTGTCGTGTCATCATAAGTGTTTAAAGCTTACCTCAATAAAAACAGTAGGTACCTAATCAAGTATGGAAAACCTTTTAAAACTCGTTAGCGTAATGATATGACTTACAAACAGTAGGTGCTGACGATGCTACAGTCAAATTTATTGATGATATTTAGTCTAGTTTGTAACCTGGTGCTTTGTCTATACATATTTAAGTAAGTATTAAGTATTATGCTCATAACACTACGATTTAAGGATCTAAGTAATACAGTTTCTTGATATTATAAAATGCTAACCTTTTTTATGGCATAAAGGCTAACCAACGGATGGATCATGCATGGCCCATGGACACCAAAAGAATTACAAATACATTGCTCATGATGAAGGTCGTCATTTTAAATGGTATAAATGCAGTTAGATTATTATTATTTAACACCTTTTTTTAGTTTAAATTTGTATGCAGAGTGAGCTTGGTTTTTGTCATAAGGGTAGACAGAAGTATAGAATACACCCCAACTTGCAATATTCGTTGAATGCAATTCATTCGCTGTAACAGGGGTCGATTACTTTACTCGATAGTCTATTGTTATGCATAAATGCAGGTTCCGTAGTGCAACTGAGGATTTTCAAGTTGAAACAATAGTACTTATTTAGTTTTATTGGGACATCGGGGCTTTGGAATTCAAATCCATGATGTGCGCAAATTGAGTCAAAGGGTACAGTTTCAAAGTCAAACTCAAAATCATTTATTTCAATTAGACCAGGAACGAACTTTTGAACGTCAACAACAAAAAAATTTAGAAGTGAAGCTAGTTGCTCATTCCATTCATTCCTATGGAGAAGAACGAGCAAGGTTACTCTTTTTCAATCGGGTTTACAATACAATTCTCTAGTTACATAGTTTTGTGTGTTCGACATATTTTATTTGGTTTATATCCTTATGCTTAATAAATGCGACAGTTCGTGTATTGATGTTTATTAAACATCCCATTAAAAACTATTCAACAGATCTGGAATAAAATTAGCACAGAGACAAATCATAATCTGGGATCACACTATGCTACTTTTTTCGTGCAATGTTGGCGAAGCAGCTCGCATATAATGATATAGATTTGTAGAAACATAATTATTCAATTAAACCTTTAAATATTTTCAGATGGACGTGAATTTCAAACCAAGATTCAGAGGCAGGAGATGTGGGCATGGGCTTGCGGCATGTTACGTGGTCTCCCTGCATCTTATCTTCTCCTGGTGGCACTGCTGATATGTACCAACAGTCTAACTTTTGAGTAGTGCTATCTCATACCTTTAGCACTATGGGTATAGTATTCTATTGTGTGCTTTACTGACATTCTTAGACTTAAAATAGTTTTTATTTAAGATAAGTACGTAATAGTCTACCTATAGCATACATACATAACCTCACGCCTGGCTCCCATGGGTGTAGGCAGAGGGCAGTTACTATGTAATGCCAATTGCTACGAATCGTACTTACATAGTCGATGGCAATTCTAAAAAAAATTGAATTTTAGACATTTTATTATATTACCTAACTGTTCTGCACAAAATATCAGCAATTTCTTTTATTTCAATACATTAATTAAGTTTATAAATTCATTTTATGTGCCCACAAATAAGATAAATCATTAAGCCTTGTCTCTATTCGCTTAATACTCCGTATTATATCTTAAATACATGTTACAAATAATGCGAACAAACAGAAATTATAGTCACTGTTATGTAGAGATAATTTCTCGCGATATGACATCCAATTATTCCATTAATCAGATCGCGCGCTCGCGAGTCGCGACTAAATACATTATAAACAACGGCGTCTCAGCCAATAACAATTAATGCCATTAATGCCAACTAAACGATAACTGTAAACAATCTAAATACCGAAATATAATTCAGGGTTCATCGTTAACGTGAATATTTCGAAAACAATAGAATAAAGTATTTCCTAAATAATTCACAAACACAAAAGAATGTTCTGAGAACAAAAATCTCAACGTACAAATTCCTGATAGCAGAACTGTTAAACAGACAACAGTGTATTATTTAACGAGCGCTGACTTAACGATAATACAGTATCGTCGCTCGGCGGTCTTTACGACGTGATATTTCGAACGAAATATGGCTTCAATAGGGTGCCAGTTGAATGCAGGGATACGGGCCCTAAAAGAAGTGAGCGTCGAGGGTTTGGCCGAGCGCACAAAAAGTACGAAGGGAACAAACGCGCCGTGCCGCGCCGAGCGCAGAGGGTTCGGTTCAGTTTAATTTTTTATGTTTATACTGGGATCCCGTCTGTATTCGATAAACGAACTGGCTGCCTGCTGGGACCGAACCCAACGAAACATAACGTGCACAAATACTTTTACAAATGTTACTAAAGATTTGAACATTTAAGAAATTATTCAATTATTTTGGTTGGATTTGTGTTATTTCGCAGCAAAGATTGGAATAATAAAATTGCCTGCACTTAATAAAAATACACCAGACTGAATGATGACATAAAAATTAAATTCCAGTTTTTGCTAACAGGTCTAAATGTACTTTTGTGCGAGGAATGAATAAATGAAGCAGATGTGAAAATGTCTGACACACCGCATATTGATGTATAACTTCGTACTACCGTTTTAAAGGTAGTTGTTGAATAGCGGGAATTAAAATTGGGTGCGTCAGTGCCGCACGGCGCGGTATGTTGACAGCCCACTTGTCCGCGTTCCTGGAAAGCGCGCGTAAATGTATCACCGACTGCGTCCTGTACTTTCTAAACCTACATCTTTTTTATTATATCCAAATAGAAATAAATAAATCTAAATAAACCGGATTAATGTCACCTATGACGTATCTATTGAACTTTAAATGCTAAAATTGTTTTGATATTTCCCTATCGAATTATTTATAAAATACTAGCTCTATGTTTTGCTTATTTTACCTAGGAATTAAATCTAAACATCATCTACCTAGCCTATTTATTCTAAACCTAAACAAAAACCAAAACTACAAGTATGAAAACATCTAATCAAAATCGTTTGTTCATGGAGCAAAGTTTCTAAGAATGAACAACGCCTTATTAGTATGCTCAAGTAAGAAAAACA